CCATTTCATTCTGTATCAGAAACACCATCTTTATCTGTGGCGTGATCCTCCACCCGGAGGATCCTCCACCAGGTCCATGCGGTCGCCACAGTAGCAGGCTGTTGGCTTTGCCTTTTGAAACTAATTAGCAAGCAAACGTTTGAAAAGAGTTGCTCATGGGGTCAATGCTGTAGGATGCGGCTGACAGCAACATACAACCAGCTGTCTGTGTGGAGATATCGCGCTATAGATTTCACCCAACACTGCAGAGCAAGGAACCTTTCTGTTCATTTATTTGCATTTTGGGAGACTTCAGTACATCCTTGAAGTTGCTAGAGACCCAGATGGAGCGAAGCATTGCTCTTCGCGTTACGTCACATATGCACAGTTTTCTGTGTCATAACATCCATTCACTGAGCCACACACTGAATCAATGATGCGCTGCACTGCAAAATTTGTTTTTTCTGTGAGAAAATAGATGTGTTTTCTCAGTTTGGGCTTAATAACCATGGCTGACTCCTGACCACCGGAGCTTATGAGAAGTGGAGGTAGTGGTGGAGTCACCCATGGGTTTAGGGTTATTGGAATGTGGAGGAGTGATGTAGAGAAGCTGCATGCAGCTGTGGTAGCAGCGGTGATCCAAGTAGCTCCGCCCTAAAGGATATTCCCATTTACGGCATATTTGACTTCATTCACCTTCATATTTAGTATTGAAGAAGCATTTTTCAACTTTGCATGATTGCGTTACATCGCCGACCGTAGCTCATACGTGCAGATGGTCCCTTTTTCTACTTGTTTCTTGATGTGAAGACTGATTCATACATGTCATGTTCACCACCACCGCTCAAGGACTCCGACTGCAGAACCAACGGTGAACAATAACGTCAGAAATACGTGGCGGTACATCATTAGCTTTGTTCCGGTGCAACAAAGGAATAAGAAGCGGAGATAGAACTTTATTTAATTACCGAACCGTACTCATTGTTTCTGCTTGGGTAGAAGTGCAGCTTGACTAAACGCATTACTGTTTGCAGCCTGCAAAGCTAATCTGGCAGAACAATGAAAGGCCTCCCACGGCTGGAAGGAGCATGTGGGCAGCGATTGAAGTGCAACAACAGAGCTGTGCGCTCCGTTTGGAGCAACAACTGCGCAGCGCCACACGGACTCGTGTGGGCATGCACGCAGCTGCCCGTTCCTCTCCACACACATGCACACAACACGAGCAGCTGTCTGTCTGTTTGGGTCGTGACCTATTTGGGTTTTATTGGCTGTCTACCGCCACAGTCGCCATTACAGATAAAAGTTAGAGTTGACTTCCTGGGTCGTCTGTTATTGCTTTACAGAAAACTAAATCGAACTCACTAAGCCGGTTGAAAATGGTACCGGGTGGCCGAATGGAGCCAATAAGGAAGTGACTTAAACTCAAGCATCCTACTGACCAAGAGGGACGACTCCTCCAGTTGCAAAACGCAGTCTGATTCTTAAAGGTCTGAGAAAATCATCACTTGATTTGTTACGTGTGTAAAGGTCAGAGTATGGACCATGTTTCTGTCCCTTGCCACGGCCCTGCTGCCACCTTCTGCTGCTATCACTACCGTTATTAATAATCTATCACATTACTGTCACTGCCATCATGGACCAACATTACCCGCGTTGCTTCTTTCCTAAAGCCTTCCTTGTATCTTATACGCTGTTCATTCTGTACGCATGACATCCATTATATTTTATTGGTAATACGCGATTTGGGCTATAAAAAAATAAAATGAATTGAATGTATTTTACTTTAATCAGGTCCCCTGCTTACTGTGAAAATACACATATCTTCCTGTTATCCTCTATGTGACACACTTGTGGGCATTTCCGTCTTTCAGTGTTCATAATTATACTTATTAGACTTTCCCTCCAAACTGTGGAATACGGTGAGCAGAACAATTTAAAAGCTTAGCTGCTGGATGTGTGCAATGGTATTTGACACAGACGATGCTCTTCTTTCCTCTTTTTCTCATAACGTAGTCGGGATTGTGCACAACTGTGCAGCGCTCACCCTGGGTGTACATCTCCAACTCACTCACCGATCCAGCGCTGCCACCACTGCTTCCCTGAATATCCCGCCGGGTCTGAATGAGGCCGTAGAGAACGTTTATGTAACTGCAGTTATTGTCGGAAAAAGTTGCAGAGGGGGAATGTTAAGAGCTGCTGAAACGGGTTGCTGCTTGGAAACAGCCAGAGTGAGCCAGCGTGACGAGCGACGGTGAGGGAAGGAGGCAGCTGGCACCGAACGCCTGCCGGGTCACCACAACGCACACGCAGACAGACAGACAGACAGACAGACAGACAGACAGACAGACAGACGGAGGAACACGCACACGTACAGCGAATAAGGGAACAAAGACGAACCTTTGACATCCGAATCCATCTCTTGACTGTCTGGCTTCAGGGATGAGTGACACACAGAGAGGCCAAGGGGGGATGCGAACTCCAAATAAAAAAGAACGACTACTTTTAATGAAATGACACATGCACGTTTGATAAGATAGTCTTCCAATAAGTAGCATTATATAGACAGATCTGCATTAACCCAACTATGATTTTTCCTTTGTATCATGAAGTTCCAGCCCTAATGAACCAGAGGAAAGATACAACGAATATAGATTTGTCTTTCGTTTCGTGAGTGTTTAAGGAAATTACTCTTATTATAATGTCATAAGATAAAAAAGGGAGTTGTCTAGATGCTTAACTACTGTCAGTCCCAGCGAGATGGGAGGCAATTACTGCAATTTGCAAAGTCTTCATCTGCAGCTGAAGTCTCCTTTCTCTATTCAGTTCAATGATTAAATCAGCTCTGGAATAAAAACATTTTCTTAATATGTGCTTTTCAAAAGTTACGCTTTTGTTCAGCATGGAACTTGGGGACAGCGTTTCTCATTTTTTTTGTGCTTAAACTCCGGTCCCAAGGGTAATCTATTTTCAGCAGCGGTGGGTTAAATTTGATGTAACAGAAACAGACACAACACATATTTAGACCAAGCACACAGCTCCCATGCAGCAGTGTCGACTGCAGCCAATTTAGGTGACAAATGACCTATAATTTACACCCATTAATCTCTTCCTTAATGTGGCTGGCAGGTGTGCTGTCAACAGGCGCTCTGCGAGGACTCGATTCCTGTTGTTCCTCATTATTTCATCCCCTCCTCCCCAAGGCGGGTTAATGGATTTATGCACTCTAAGTTTAATCGGGGCTAGTTAAAGAGGACCTGTCCACAAGGATTCTTTTCTCCGCGGGTAAATGTGTTGTCAACGGGACAGCCGAAGAGCTGCAGAAAATTTTATTCATAGCATTCAACCACCTCGTTACCTGGCTGTCAGCTGTCAGACGTGCGCACACACACACACACACACGCACACACACACACACACACACACACACAGTGTGTATGGCTATAACTGACAGTGTGCGGGACTGATGTCCACTCACTACATTTTCTGTGGAACTTTTTAGCAACAGGAAAAGTAAGTTTCATGAACAAGTGTAGTTTCAGTCTGGCATCACGCTTAGAATCACACGCCGACACGTGGATAACACACCGATTGGGAAAAATTAAAATGATAAACCCGTAACAATGTAATTATCGGAAGTAAATAACGTGAGCCTTTCGTAACATCAAGGTTTGGTGTCACATGAGCACAAGATCCTGTGCAACTCAAGAAAAAAAAGAGAAACCAGAAATTGAATAAGTTTGACAATCCAACCCTCAGTTGGACCCAAACCAGTCTGAACCGTTTCATTAAAATACTAGTTTGAATTATCAAACTTAAATTTAAAATTAAAATTATAAAATTATTTCTCTAAAAACCACAAATATTTACCGGACCAGTCAAAGGTTTGACCGTTCAATTGAATAAGAAAGTGAGTCCAACTGGAACTGATCATCGAAGTGATGGAAGACAATCGGCATCTAAGTCGGTAATGCCAATAATTGTTATTTGTAATAAAAATGATAACTTGGTGAAACTTCTTGCGTAAATGGTAAATTAAACACACAGGCTGCATTTGTTTCATTTATATTTCTTTAATATATCTTAAAAAGGGATATACAATCTGAGAAAGAAACGGTTCGAGGTTTTGAATTGTTAATCTTCCCCCCTGGCCAAACATGGCGTCAGCCCGAGCAGACGCAGTGGCATAATAATAATAAACACTTTGAACTGCCAGACCGACGGACACATGACAAGTCAGTGTTAGTAAGGCTAACGCTAAGTACGGAGCATTGGGCGTCCGTCTCCTGGGTGCAACTGCTGCCACGACAACGAGCTGCTGTGCCGTTCAGCCACCGGCCTTCCAGGTCTGAGGGGCCCAACGCCATGCCGCAAAACACCACACAACGCACACATTCACACTTCCTTTCCACCGACCAGGTATTTGTCATATTCTGAGGTTCTTTGTTCTTTTTACTTCCACCAAGAAAACAATAACAGTTTGAGGTGTAAAAGCCGCCTCATTTCAACATGTGACACTTTAACTGCTCGCACACACACACACACACACACACATGCTCAACAAGCACAAAATTTCACTCTTTGCACACACACCATCGACACCACAATAGCTGGATGTTGTGTAACATGTGGAGTGGAGTCGTTCAGATATGCGAGTCAATCCGGAGGCACAATGCTGGCTAGGACCCGGCTAAACGCACACATTGGCTAACTCAGGGACAGTGTCTTTGTTTCTCTCACACACACACACACACACACACACACACAGAACATGAACACACGGTTTGTGGGATGAATACACGACGGCAGTGGAACAGCAGCACCAACTCAAGTCGACAGAAAGCGAATGAATGAGCCAGCTAGCATCGTGGCTACTCGCTAATGTCATCCACTTTGTGTGGACGCCGAGAAACACACACGACTGAGGAAATGAGACACTCGCATGTTAGCTTGCTAGCTAGTGAGCTTAGCATCTAACGGCCTTTCTGTAAACCCCCCCACAGAGACCAGAGTGAGAAGGTGTGTACAACGTAGTCCTAACAGTCTTGGGACAGTAAATTGTATTTTATTCAATATTGCAGCACGATGACAAAAACATGAAACAATAACTGTGAGGTAAAAGTGCCGTCTTTCAGCTTTAAAGGAAAACTTCACCCATAGACTGTTCCAGAATTCCTGTCCTAATTTCAGGACAATGACTTTAAATATTTACATCAATATTCTTTAACTGCTAAATCTTCTGCTTGCTGTTCAGTGAAACCAGCTCCCTGTTGTGGGCGAGAACAGAGCGGGCAGAACCATCCAGAACAGTCGATCCCCACGCTTTCATCCGTTATGCAATTAAAAGACCTGCATCAGTACTTTAAACTCATAGTCATTGTTCCACTTTAAACCTACTGCAACCACACAACAAACAGGCGTCATTCTATATCTGTCTGATGGCACTATAGGATGAATGAACCCCTCCATCCTGTGTGTGTGTGTCTGTGTGTGTGAGACATAAGAGGGGTCGAGGGAGGAAAGACGACAAAAGGGCACAGAGAGCTGAAGCTAACGGTACAACACATTTGGCTGTGGTTTTTGTAGTCATTCTTTATCCAACTGCAGGTGAACACACTAAACAGTGTGTTTGTGAGTTGCGCGTGTGTGTGTGTGCGCACATGTGAGGAGAATGACAGAATGGACAATGTGGTCATTCGCATGCTGTCTAATGGCCTTGGAGGCCCGTGTACATGTATGTGTTTACATTTTACTACAGGGTGTGACTGTGCGTTTATGTGACTGAACTCACATGCATTTTGTCTCTAGCGACACAAACATAGCAGGCACTGGAACAGCGAACTGATAGCAACACATATTTCACCTCTTGGTTCGTTAGTTATTTTCTTTAGCTGATTGCAATTTCATTTCTTTCGTCCCCACGTCACCTTGCCGGTTGTCGTCTCAGACTGCGGCTCAGGGACTCCTCTGCGGAGACGCCGTCATACGGTGGTCTTCCAACATGGACCGGACATTGTGGTCGTCGTAACGCTCAATCTATCAGGATGACTTAAGCGTCATCTGCTTTTGTATGCAAGTCTTCACTCAAACACATTTTTTATTTATTTATTTATTTCTAATTCCGTCCTTGTGATGCGGAGTTTATTGCAGTCTCGTGGACAGCGGGGCAGCAGGGGAGGGAGAACGAGCCAGCTGTTGAGTCACACATGTGCGGGTGGTGGGTCGGCCGAGATTAGCCAGGTAGAGCAGTTTGGTTGGTTGGTTGGTTGGTGCAGGCTGAATTAGGAAGACCACGGTTCTATCATCTGGCGTAGTGCTTGATGTAATCTTGAACCTTTTTCCGAAAATCCTCCTGGATTGGAGAAAAGTAAAGAGAGTATGAGAGTTGGATGTAGAAGCCACATATCAAACATTTTTTTCTGGCCATAAATAACTTGCATGTTCCAGAAACTGCAAAGCTTATTTCCGTTTATAGCAATTCATTTTAGTTCGATAAATACATACATATATTTATTTATTTTCTTTTTGTTTATTTGAATTGTGTTTATCATCCAGTGACGGTGTTCAGTGCATAAGTAGAACCACATCACATTCATCGGAGTCAGGTTGACATTTTGCTGCAGTTGTGTCTCCTCTCTAATCACTTTCTATGCGAGTTCTTCCCGGCAGCCACCTCTCATTCCCTTGGCTCGGCCCCTTTCAAGCCTTCTTTCTACTTCGAGCCCCACCTGGTTTGCTTGTTCCTACCATTTCTTCAGATATAATGCAAAATATTCTTTAACATGCCCGGCGGAATGTTTACAGAAAACACACACACACACACACAATTCTATGGATTTGGTCAAATACAGCTATTAATGTGAGAATCTGGCAGCTTCCGCCTCTGAAAGGATTTCCTTTATTCTATGAGTACAGAATAATGCATTGCGTAGCAGAACTGCACTGTGGGTCGACACTTTGCGCATCAAGAAAACTGCCGTAATTGGTTGCACACCGTGTGCAGCTAACGGGACTCTTTTCTGGGATTGATGATGATGTAGTCGGTAGCGCTTCTGCAGCATGGATGTTACCCATAGAACTGAATTATATATGACTTCCATTCAAAGTCATGGGCAGGAATGCTGAAGAGCTGCCAGTCGCAAAAACTCCAGCAGCAAGTGACAGCGGTTTGAGGATCCGTCCACAGCGCGATGACGGATGGGCCTCATTGCCGCTGAGGGATCTCTCCCTCCAGGCCCTATTTTAATGGCACAAGTGCAACAAACCGAGCACGGCGGGGAGGCTTTCAGGGAACACCGACGGCAGGGCGACCTCCTCGTGCTCACACGGTATTGGTTCATTTGGTTAGACGGAAGTTTGCTCTGGATTTACTATCAAGAGGGAACTTGCCTTTAACTTTGACTATCTGCTGCTACCACAAGCTCACAGATGGTCCCACATGTTGAAGCCCCTGATAATCACATTTGTTGAAATTTGTTCAAATAATTCAATCGTGTTACAAAACGTTGAGGCATATAATTCAGCTGTGCGCGAGGTAGCAGATCAAATGCTCAAATGATTTAGATTCCTCAACGCGCTGAACAAATAACTTTAAATGGATCGGACCATAACAACACATTGATAGCTTCCAGTTCTGTGTTTTCTCTGCCGCTCCATCGGCTGCGCAGAGCGCTGTGGGTCAGAACGCTGGCGGACGCAGCACGTCGTCCTGGTGTTTCTGACATGCACTTAACATGCATAGCGTGTATATGCATAGCGTGCTAATGTGCGGAGCATCTTGGTGTAGCATGTTAGCACGCATGTTGCAAACAATTGCTCATCAGCACAAAACACGAGGTGCAGCTGAAGTACAGGGAACAGAATAAATGTGATGTCTTCTAAAGGAAAACGCCAGCTTGGAAATCAACACAACCACAGTTCCAGGATCATCAGTTGTTGAGAGCGTCAGACACAAAAGCTTTTACACATTCTGCACTTCTAATGCACTGGATTTGGGATTTTGGGAAACACTAAATAAATTGAATTGAATATGAGCTTGAAATAAAAAAAAGCCTTCAGCCGTCATGCTGATCATTTCAATGTCCAAAGGTAAGATGGGAAACAGACCATAACATTTCTCTGTAGTAATGAGCAGAAACATGGTCCATGTCTGTGTGAAAGGAAAAGCATGTGTAAACATGGCATACAAGTCTGTTCGTTCTTTTGGTCTCTCTGGCATTTCTTGTCAACTCGGCTGTCTCTTGAAACTAAGACTTAAACTGACGCGCCGTATAAACAACATGTCACTTAGAAAATGAGTAAAGAGTTCTGGGAGGAACAAGCCTTTTAACACCATCTCATACATATTTACAAGACAAAGTTACAGGAATTTTCTCTTACTTTGCCCCCCCCACTCTCCCCCACTCTCCCCATACACCGTACCGTGTCTGGCTCAGCCTGCAAATTACTTGGGTGTTAGTTTAAAGACTCCAAGCACACCCTGCAGTCGATTAAAAACTTTTGCTCGTCTTATATTTCTTTGGCTCTATTTAACCTCGCAGGCGGAAATTCATTCTCCTCTCCTCCAGCAGTCTGTGCACCAGCATCTAGAGGGAGGGAATGCAAATCAAAGCCTGCGGGTACAAACAGTTACTTTAAAATCGGCCAAAAAGGAGGTAAATAAGCAACGGAAATCCCCTGCATGCCCCCTGCGTGGGAGGGGGAATACACGGAGGAGAAGAGAGATGGCCGGGGATACCGAGGTGTGTGATAACACTCAATGCTCCTGGCTGATTTCACACTAGAACTGAGGATTTTAGTCAGAAATGTCAAAGCCCCCCCCCGCCGACACATCTGGGTCTGTGGTTCTAGGCTAGAAAAGCTGTTCATATACGGCAAGTCTGGTCTGCAGCACATGTTAAAAGCCTTTCACTCCACCCGTAAGAGCCAAATAATGGAGTTGATTGAGCGAGTCACATCACGACATCCTTGTAATGTAATCAGCTAATCAGAGGGAGAAGTAGCTAAAGAGGGTGTAGAGAATGTCGAGATTCTTCACAACGAATGCTCATGAACTGTAACTGATGAAAACACAGATTAACCTTTCACGTACAACCCGTCATTGAGAGGATCTTGAGGTGGTGTTGACCTTAGTGATCCGCCAAGAGCTCTTTGAAGGAATACTACTTCCACAAAATGGCCTTTTCTCTATCAATTACACACTTTGAATTCTTGGGAGTAATTGGACCAGAAGCACCGTTATCTCCTTCATGCAGCCCCGTGGCTTCTCCTTCGCAAACAAACACATCTGGGCTAGAAGCTTCGTAACAGCCTGAAGCTTGAGCGACAAGGCTCCTTGTTAGTGGGGGTGTGGACGGGTCTGAAGGGTTTTTAATGGCATGTTGTCTGCAAAGATGTGTCAGGGAAATTAATGTGACTGGGATTATGCTGCATGAAAGTGTGAGATACTTCTTCTGTTGTTGATCTCATTTGCTTCAGTTTACCAAAGTTATAAAAAAAAATTAAAAAAAATAAATAAAATGAACCATTGTGCATCGGCGTTGCTTTTCAGACCGCCTGTTTATACAACAAATAGAAGGACGTTTGGTTTATGTATTCAGAACCAAACGGAGTAGAAGGCTTGAATAGGGATGGTTTGTAGTTGTAAGCGTACACTATTATAATCATTTGTATCTGTTATTTCATGAAGGTTATCTTTATCTAGTATGGGGTTTAATTGGGCTTCGGAGCTAAACTTCTTTTTTCTTCTGTAATTATTGACGGTTAGTTCTTCTGGTTTAAAGTACTTTGTGTTTCCGAATATTTCTAAGAATAGTGCCATCCAGATCCCACCTTAAGTCCTCGACAACTTTAAAGCCAGCGTCTCATCTCTCTGAAGAGGCTTCAACGATAAAGCTTGACTCATTACGTTTTGTCCCTCAGCAGCCGTACGTATGAGAGGAAGCAAGTCACAATCAGAAAATAGCACAGCTGAGATCTGCCATCACAAAGAATGAGTCAGAAGGAAGCGGATAATTACTGTGACAAATAACCTCCAACAAAAGGGATCGCACGTCCGCGTCAGGCCGTCTTCAGCCGCGTGGACGCTCGCCAAGCCGCAGCCGAAGCAGTGACGAGTCCGTCTCAGACTTAAATACTGCTCGGGTCAGCGAGGGACGCAGACGGAATGGAAGGAGGCGAGTGTGACGGAGGTGCCCCCCCCCCCCCTCCTCCTTATTTGAATCGCGCTCTCTCACAATTTGCATTCCCAATAGAGACACCCTCGCCTTTGCAGGAAAGCAATTTGCTTAAATTGTCCTCCAAAAGAATCGGCGCGTCTTTCTTCTTTCTGAATCAATGACAGAAAAAGCCTGATGATGATGACGATGATGGTGGTGGTGGTGATATTCAATACCGGCGACAGGTATGAATCTTTCATATACTGTCATGCCGGTTGCACAGCCGCAAAACTGTTGTCGTTCTTCGGGAGGCAGCAGAATATTTTGCTGCCCACTCACCGCTGAGGGCGCAGCGGTCGGTCTCAGGTAGCGAGGCGGGAGTGGAGATACACTCACCGTCCACTTTATTAGGTCCACCTTTTGAGGAAAATGTTGGACCCTCTTTTGCCTTCAGAAGTGCCTTAAATCTTTGTGTCATATTTTTAATAAACTGTTGGAAACATCCCTCAAGAGACTTTGGTCCATATTGCCATGACAGCACGATGCAGTTGCTGCTGATTTGTCGGCTCATCTGCGATGAGAATCTCCCGTTCCACCTCGTCCCAAAGGAGCCGCGTCGGATTGAGGTGTGGTGACTGGAGGCCATCGGAGTACAGAGAACTCGTCATGTTCAAGAGACCAGTTTGAGAGGATGATGCATCCTGTTGAAAGTAGCCATCAGGAGATGGTACACTGTGTTCGGCAACAATGCTCAGGTAGACACTATTTAAACCTTGCTCAATTCGTATTGACGGGCCCAAAGTGTGCCCTAATGGAGAAGTGTAATTAGTATTTATGGATTAAAAAAAGGCACCAGAGGACTGTCAGAGCCGGTATGGACAATTCAGTACTTGTCCTCATAAAAACTAATAAACACTGAGGGAGCAGACAAAGATGAATCTCTAGACTTCAGTCAAAGGACTCGCTCTCCCCTCCACCTGAAAGTCTGCGATATCAATTCATGTTTCACAATACTCCATAAAACACATAAAGACAGGTAATGGAGCTGCAGACTCTTTCAAGCCAATTGGCCTCTTCCATTTTTGTGCCAACCGTGTTTGTAATACAGCTGCCTGTGTATACACACAAAAAGCCTACTCATAAACAGCAATGCTACAAAAAGACCCACACAGACACTAAGAGACGCTTCCTTTCAGCTGCATTAACAGGCCGATGTATTCAGAGATCAGCAACACAAGGAGTTCCACTTAAAAGGCTTCAACACACACCAGCGCCTGCATCCGCACTAGTGGGCGCGCACTGACACACACACACACACACACACACACACACACACACACACACACACACACACACACACACACACACACACACACACTCCCACTGCTTCCCCCACTCGCTGCTGGAGTTGATTACTCAGTGGGAGAGGGTCACGGATGGCCGACCGTGTTTTCAGTTGCTGTGACTCCACAGCAGCACACCGAGGCAGCGCTTTCACTCAGCGGGGGAAAAGAATCATTTCAATGGTCTTTTGCGAGTTGCTTTCAATTAATTTTGCTAAATGATGTTTTGAACACATGAATCCAGTAGATGTTCTGTGAAGCAGTCATGGCTCAGGGTTCATTTTCTAGATTACATCTAAGGTTTTATCAGTAAATAAGGAAATAAATGGGTACATGAAATCAACCTCGGTAAGACATCATGCTAAAAAAATGAATGTATAGCAAAGAAGGTCCAAACAATTGGAATAAAATGTTAAACAGATAATGTTTCCGTCCATCCTACCACATCAAATTCAAGTCTTTCTCCAAATAATATTTTAAGGATAGATCCACCCATGTCTTATTGTGCCAACACATACGCGTGTTCCGACCATAGACTGTATGCGAAGTGGACCTTGTCCTCCTGGAGACACTTATTGGTGAACCTGTCAACCACAGTAACTCGGCCCTAAAGAATATTCCATATTATGGCCTATTTGACTCTAAGTGGTCCATAATTTACTAAATGAAAACCACATTGTATTGGAGTAGACTTTAAACTAGAGACTTAAACCGTCAACTCAATGCTCACAGACTTAATAAATCAAGTAAGTTTTGGAAGTAGTTGATCAAAAGAAAGCAGCCACATTTGTGTGCGACCGAGTGGCTGATTCTGTGAACGTGTGACTGGGCCCTGCAGATCCATCTGCATGAGCACCAGCTCTCCCCAAGTGTGCATAGAAGCTACTACTTGGATGAAGGGGTGTATGTGATGACTAATTCACTCCCCCGACACCCCCTACAATATGGACAGTTTACCCTGTCCTGAACAATAAATTCAAATTCTGAACACTTATTAATCATCATGATTTTACTTTCAACACGAGGTAAAAGGACATCAAGGAAGGCGGTAGGTCTTTGTAACTGGGAATTCACACTGACCACCAAGAGGCTTTTTCAAACTCTTCATCTGGATGCTGGTCCACTGAGGAAAGGAAATATTGGGTGCATCCTAAGCAGCCGCAGAGTCAATGTGGCTCAGAGAAATATTTAAGGAGTTTGACTCGCTGACCAAAGAATAGAAGTTTCTAAAAGAGTCTTCAAAAGCTTCCGAGTCCTCCTTCACCTGCGTCTATTGACTCATCTCAACCTTCATGGCCACAATCCAGAAACCATTCGTTACACTCTCTCAAAACAAAACTCTTCCTGTCTACTGGGGGGCGCGGTTTACATGATCACACACTGCTGGGTGCATCCCAATGAATCATGGGAAAGGGTACGAGCAAAGGGCCCAATGTCATGTGTTGTACTTTAAAAAAACCTCTCAGCTCACCCTAACTCAGGCTCGACTAACAACTATTACCCGGGTCAGCAGGCTCCCTGCGGAGTCACATTTGTTCGCTCTGCAGTCCAGGAAAGCAATTACTGCAAGCAGAACTCTGAGAACATCCGTTTCTCTCTGTCTGCCACCGGCCCGGCGGGCCGACTGGAGAAGGGCCGATGGGGGGCCGTAGAGGGAATAAGTTCATCAATTAATCACGGTGCACATCTTTTTGAAACATATTATGTTTTGCTCGAGACACCGAAGCCCAAATGAAGTCACATGCATCCTCTGCTGAGAGGCTGCTGGGTGCTCTTCAGACCATTGTACCCTGTCAACTGAATTTTGATTAATCCCAAATAAAAAAACATTAAGTCCTGTGCAGATCAAAAAAAAAAGTAGCTTCAGCAGCAGCTGTGTGTCTTGTCCCAATTTATTTTCTAGGCGGGCTGAGGGTATGAACATGATTATGGAGAATATGAGCATATCGGAGGAGCAACGTGGAGGCCTTGCAAGTGTACCGTCGCCATGTCAATGTCTGCAGTCCCTGATTGGCACCAAATAAAAGTGACCGGCGATGAAACGGAATTCTGTTCATCACCCTGAATGTGTCGGGGGGGAGGAGGGGGGCCTCACCTTGTCCTTCAGATGATGTTCTGCTGCATCGATGTTCAAAGGGTCATCAAAGTTCAACAGGTCCTGGAGAGGGTGGGGGGGGGGGGGTTAAGAAAAAGAGACAGAAAGAGACAAAAGGTAAAAACGTGAACCCATAAGTGAATGATCACGAATAGAAGATCTTTGCATAGTTCAGTACTTCTACTTGTGGGCCACATTTTGTTTCCCGATGTTAACAGCAAACCAACAAACCTCAGCACTATTTTCTGTCTGCAGTGTTACATCGGATTCTGCAACCGCGGCAACAAAACATTATAATAAGCTGTTGCCATGGCGATGCCAGGCGCAACAAAGCGAGGCAAGACACGGAGCGCTATTAGAGAGATAATAGATGTTAAAGGCAGATGGCCTGAGAGGTTGTTTCCTGATTATGAGGTAAGATTTAGGGCATAAGCAAACATCAATGCTAATTACCATCACTATTATCACAGACACAGTGCTGACCTCAGGGGAAGTGTGGATGCTTTCGAAATTCATGCAAGCTTGCAATTAGCAGAGTAAGCATGGTTTGGACTAAATTAAATAAAAAGTTTTGTTTTAAGTTTATTTAAACATTCAAACTAAACTTAAAAATACAACCATTATCTATTTGAACAATTTAACATGTTTCATTACATTTAATCTAAAAGCTTTCATATTGACAAAATACAGACAGAATAATGCTAAATACTGTAGTAACTCTACTTTGTCTATCTGGACTATTCTGTCAGGATAAAGGGGAACCCTGTGACTGTTCTGACGTATACAAATCTGTTTATATGTTACTGGTGAGGAAGTTAATCAACAAAAAAAACCTTTTCAACTTTGAGAAAGGGCAAAAAAGACAAAGAATCAACAACAGCCCTATAAGTCCTCAGAAGCATCGAGACGACAGGCTAAAAACATTGATAGAGTACAAAAACTACTCTCGAGGAAGCTTTTTTGCAGGCGTCAAAATGTTGGTTTTTGCCTAAATCGCACGGTTCAACCACTTTGAGATTTTCTGATCTTATTGGATCCGACTAACACCACGTTAAAAAAGAGCGACACCCCCCCTCAGCAGCCACAATGAGTGACGACTGGCCAAGAACCAACCACTAAAACCTGCACGGAAGGCGCTGGTTGTTTGTGATGCGCTCACATTGGCTGGTGGACGGAGCTCGCTAAAAAAAACAATGGATTCATTTCATAATTACGTTCAAGACTTCAAAGGTAAGGGGCATTTATGGTTCATATGCTTGGAGGTCATTTGCTATTTTAGGTTTGTGAAGGTGTACAGTGGACACCCAGAACCAGCTGTTCTAACGTGCAAACCATTCTTCTGGTTTTTACCTTCTCCCATCATCTCAAATGCCACTTCATACAGATTGGTATGTTTAGTTGTAGAGTAAAAACCATCAAAACTTACGGTAAACAAGGAGTTCAATCCCCACACAACGTCCTGGAAACAACAAATGAAAAGATATAAGTGATCAAATAGTATTCAATATGTTAATGAAAACAGTTCACAGGGGAGAGAGTTGAGGCACAACGAGAATGAAAGTATTGATTCATACTAAACAATATGATGTATTATATGAGTACAAACAAAGTGTGAACAAATTGAATCACGTCACTCACATTAATTTGGCTGGCGCTAATATGTGTTATATCTAATATTCTAAACGCCTTGTAGTCGTATGAACGTGTAGTCAATGTACATCATGCAGAAACATCGGTGAACCGTTACACTCAGCGACTCAGAGCACGGTCGTCCTCCAATCAGAGGACACGCATGCCGATGTGTCCTCGGGCAAGACAACATTGCTCCTGTAGCTGGGACTACTGTGTGTGAATGATGTGGATGTTAGTTACTGGTGGGCAGGTGTCACGAGTGTGTGAATGGTGACATGAAGTGTTAAAGCACCGTGAGTAGTCAGAAGACTAGAAAAGATCTACACAAGCACAGTCCATTTACAACGTTCTCACATGTACTCAACCGTAAGGATGAAACAAAAGTTATGACAACAATAGGCATCATAAAAGTGAACACAACAGACATCATTGTATACAGATCATCCAGAAAATACTCACAGCTGTGAGTACTTTCCAGATGTTCTGTGTATTTACTTTGATGGATTATCAAGTGAAACCTTTCACATTTCATTCTCGTGGTGGTGATCTTTACACACCGGGACAAGTCCCACCCACCATCATTAGGCCCCGCCCACTACATCCTAGATAATCTATTCTCAGTTTGTATGTTTTTTTTGTTTGTGTAATCAACCCACAAATGCCCCTTTACAGATGACAGGCGTGTTGAGGTTGGGTCTTTTATTAGTGAAGAGCAGCAGCGACACGGTGACGGTCGCTGGGAGCTGCTGAGAACAAATGTCCACACGTTCAAGATAATCATTTCAGTGATTACATTCAATTACGTGTTGCTCATTCCTCACACAAGTATTTTTTTTTCATTCACATAATGAAATAAAGTTCTCAGGTTTGCTAAGTGGGATAAAAGCAAGCAACAAAATGTGAAATTCATTCCTACTGAGCCCCCCGCAAAGGACACGATATTGCTTTTTCTGTTTCCTTCCGGCTTTGGTACCCTGTTGCAGATTTAATTCCACAAACAAACAAAAATATTATAATTGTTTTATCGCTTGGGGACTGAACCAAACAAATCACCAACTTTCATCAGCCTCATTTCAAAAAGCTGAGGTATAATCTTTCCAATAGAGCGCTTCTCTCTCCTTTCCCCTCAGAAGGTAGTCAGAAAACAAAGTCCCTCAAACAACCAGGAGACGACGCGGGAGCAGTGCTGCTGCTCGCGGAGTAAAAGCCGTGGAGTGGGGGGGGCGACATCATCGCCCACTCTAAATCCTCCACACTCCCCTCTGACTCGCCGCTTTCTGCACCGACCTCATTCCTACGGACATTTTGTGGGCATGTAGCGCCCGAGCCCGGCTGCCCTCACGCACGTGACAACGTGCGCCTCCGCATTTTGGGAAACAGCGATGGGCTGCGTTTGGCCAGGAGCACGAAACAGAAAGCCAAGTGCAACAATCAAAAGGCCGGAGACGTCTCCATCAAGCCGTAACAAGAGAGGGAAAAAAATGGTACTTTGCACCCCGTTGATCCAACTTTGTATGTGGTGAAGAGACACAGACTGATAATAAAATGTAATAAGCTATCATGCAGTTTCAGATATGCAATGTTGACATACGGGTGACAGTTTTTTGTTGGCAAAATAATATGATCGGAAGATATGAGCGATTACGACCTTTAGTACTTACATTTGGGCATTTGCCGAGTATTGATAGGAATACTTCAGTTCTTACAATAACTGTTCTCACCAGAAGATGTTATTTACTTTTTCACCAACCAACAAATTATATAAAACAATGCCGACATGTTCAACATTGTGTTTTCCTGATAGAAAAAGCATTGGGATGTTAATAACCATGCAGTCAGTCAAACAAGTAAAATGAAACATTCTAAATTAAAGAAGTGGAGAAACCTCAGAGGCTGGTCTCTGGAGTCAGAGCTGTGGCTAACTTTGGGTCTGACCCGAGCTAAACGCTGTCCGTACTTTCTCTGTTCCAGACGGTAAAAACAGTTCTGGGAGCCACGGGATGTCGCTTCTTTACATTCTGCATTGATACACATTCTGTAGAATCTGTGGGCAACAGGTCCAGATTTTCGCTAGGAAGCATTCTGGTTGCCCGATGGGTTCCTGCGGCCTTTTCCTTTAGCAAAGACACATTCCCTTCAATAAATACAATGTATTTACCTTTAAAGTTCTAGTGGGGGCCCAGCCTGTGCCATCAATAGAGTGTTCCCGCAATAAGCTGAAATAGAATAAAAAGCAAACGTGTCATTAACAATTCCTGCATCTCATCAAAGTTTGTGGCAGCTTGTAATTGCACATTGTTGCCCTCAGGCAATGCCTGAGTGTCGCCAAAGGTTATGAATAGCAAGTGAGAGTGTGGGTGAGAACTGGTGTGTAGCTCAAGGAATAGCGTTTTATTTGCATTTCTAAGCAGGAAGAACAGCGATGGAACATCAAATGGAAGGCAACTTAGTAGGCATTACCTCAAGCAGATCTCTCCCGTCTCTGTGATGTTCGGATGCCATATTCTGGTCAGACATCTCACTTTAGGAGGCTGAAACATGAGCAAGAAAGACATTTTCACTTAATGATCCAATTTGATTTTAAACTAACTTTTCATACACACAGTATGTAACTAACAATATTCATGTGAAACAAGCCTGTGCTGAAGGTAGAATAGAGGTCCCATTAGTAACCAGCATTAAATCACTGTGCAATGTCAAAAATATTAACAACAACAAGTACACTGTTGTACAATTACCTCTTACCTCTGATGTGGGGTTTTCTGATTTGGATATCAGACCGATTTATTACAAAGGTCGGAGAAACAGTTCACAACCGACACATTGAGATGAGACGCTCAATGATAATGTGTAAAATGCTCAGCAAGACAAACCATCGGGATTCCCAACCATTCCAGTCAAACAGTAATGTGGCCAACAGACAGACACACAAGAAGAGGCAGCAAGGCCATCAAACTACAGTATTTGCTTTATCATTTTGTTTTTGTGGGACACTTAAGACATTAGTAGTCTCATACATGCAGTGCAGGAGGCCTCCTGGTCGGGCGCCCTAAACAACTGAGCTTATTCCCTTCGACACAAATGAGTGACGCCTCAACTCAGAGTTCCCTCAGGATTTCTCGAGCTGGTACGGCGGAAAATCCTTTCTGAGTTACTGCTGCAGCCGCACCAACCCGCCTGCTGGTCTCCTGATCCAACCCACCGACTCGTGATTCTCAAACTCCTTCACTTGCGGTAGGTAGTCCGTCCCCGCCCGGAGAGAGCAATCCCCCGGTTTCCGGCAGAGCACCATGGCCTCAGATTTGGAGGCGCTAACCCTCATCTCTGCCACAGAATGATGGACCACAAAGGACCACATCAACCTTGTGGTAAAAGGGCATAATATGGCTCTTTAAATATGAGGACAAATCAATAAAACGCTGTTCAGTGACCTTACGTGAGAAAATGGACTTTTGTATTGTGTGCAACGGGTACGATTTCACTGCCTTTGTTGACGGATTTGATGAGTGCAAGAAATAAACTCTGTGGCAAACAAACGATGACACTTACATGTTTTGTTGAGCAAACGCAGTAAGGTGACAAAGCTGGGCTGTACTGTGCATTAACTACACCACAGTCACATGATCGCAACGATGTCCACCAAGGCGTTAAAAGCAGCCCAGCGTTCGCTCTGAGGATGTTTTCTCATCTCAACTAGTAACCACCTTTTGGAAGATATGTCAAAGCTTCTGGAATTAAGCAACCGATTGCATTTTGTGAAACGAGAGGCAATGATGAGGAATGTTTGTGTGGTGTGTGTCTGGGCCGCACTGCTCCTCCCACAGGAGCAATCATACTTACTTCATGAATCGATTAACCTTTCATAATTGAATGCTTATAATTTATAGTACGGTGGATGGCATCATAAAACTGAAACAGGTGGCTGCGTGTGGAGGAAGGTGTGTGTGTGTGTGTGTGTGTGTGTGTGTGTGTGGAGGAGAGCGAGGGAGAGATATGATGATACAAAGCATACGTACGTCTGCTTACGACACCAACATGAAGACAAGATTCACACACACACACGCATTGCTGAGTTAAGCCTTTGTAGCGAGAATTAAAAGGCTTACAGATAAAGGAAAACTAAGTTCCACTTGTGAAGGTCGGGGGAAAAAATGCTGCCACCATTACGTTGTCCGAGAAATCAACATCAAGGAACAACACAAATTCGCACGCGTGCACGGACTCGTACAAACACACACACACAAGCAGAAAAGCTTTTCACTTTTTGTAGACTCAGATAGAGAAAGGGGCCGGATTACTCACCACCATGTTATAGGCTTCAGGGACGTTTATTTCAAACTCAAACCTTCCACTTTGGTAGTAACCCTCATCTGGAAGAAGAAAGAAAGAGGAAAAAGGGTTTCAATAATCTATACACATTTCACTACAGTTAATTGACCCAACAAATGAAAACATTTCATATTAGATAACTATTATTATTAAATAATCATCGCCACGCATTGGTGATCAGTGCGGATTAGTTAGCAGATGAGTTGCGAAGTAGAATGTTTCCCGCACATTGACAAACACGGCAGTGTAGCGTGTACGACTTCTTCTGCCAATGAGCACAGCACAGAAAAGGTAGTAAAGATGATCTTCAGTGAGAACTTAAAGGAGCAAACGATGAACGGGGTTGGAGATTGAAACCGATGCTTCTTATGAAAAAGGGCATCGGTACGTCATCATGTATTTAACATCAGTAGGGCCGTGTCGCTGTTGCAAGTACAGCTGAGCGGATGAAAACGACCCTTTAAAACCGGTTTGAATAAGAACAATCCAGCTCTGCGATTGTGGGATGAAAATTAAAATAAAGCCCAAAAAGGAATCTATTCGCAATGCCTACAGGCTTGTATCTAATTCTCTAAAAGCCGGGAGGCCTCGCCTGCCCCAGCAGTGGTGCCGCCGATCGACCAGATCAATGCGTGCGAGACAGGCGGGTAAATGGGGTCAACACAACGCCGGCTTAATCCTCCATCTCACGGCGGCCGACAACATTTCAGGCAAAAATCACCTGATGCCCGACGTTAACTGGAAGTGGAGAGCATGCGCACACACCACAACATTTATATAGTTCTTTGTGCATTTGCTGCAACATTTATTTGACCAGTTTATCTCATTCCGCTGGCCAATCAATGGCAATAAAAGAATCCTTCTGGACACAGGACGCGTTTGAAGACCGAGACTAATTAGTCGCACTTCTCTCACGGGGCCACGGGGTCAGACGAGGGAAGCGGCTACAGCGCGGCCACGGATCAGACGAGGAGGGGAGGTCGGAGACGGGATTTGGACGGAAGAAGGAAAGCTGCTTGTTAGAGCTCACGCAGGCGGACTGGTGCTCTCCGCGTGAGGGGAGGCGGTGCAGTTGTGCATACATCCTCTAAAAAAAAAACAGGGTACTTTGCTCAGCTGGAGCGAGCACGGACCACGTGCCAAAATCTGATTTCAAACCATCTCATTCACATTTGTGGCAATTATCTGATCTTGAAATAATAATAATACGCAATTTCAATTTACAAGAAAACACAGTTGCTGCTCTGCCACTGCCACTCCCCCCACGCCTTTTCATACTCAAACACTTCGCCAATTTGAGATTAGGTACTCGTAAAAGGGGTATCTACACCTCAATCAGATTCTATTCACTGCAACAGAGACGGGGGTCCAATTTAATACGACTGCACAAAAAGTCCCCGCTGTATTATAAATGAGAAGAGGGAGACCCACACTGTGAGGAATGGAGATACAGCTTAAATAAACTTTCAAGTGGAACAGAGGGTAAAGAAAGAAACGGGGACAAAAGGGAAGGAAAAGCAACAAACTGAAAGAGGGAGGAAAGGAGAGCGTGTAGTGACTAACAGAGGCAGTCAGAACTCATGAATAATTGACGAGTGTCTTCAGTACACTGGAACAATCAGTCTCTTCTGTCACAAGACACCGGGCCTTCAAACTGACGCACACATATTCAAACTACTGAACTGAAATCTGCAGGGAAAATAAAATCGAGACATAATATGTTACGCAGAAAGTTCCAACAGAAAGACGCAGGCAAGTTGGTAAAAGGAACAACGGCTTTTAAGAGGATCTGTCGGCAGAAATTGAGTTTACTAAGAATAAGAATTTAATAACCACGGTTGGGTTTTGGGGCCGTTTATATCTCCACAGCGGGTCCTCTGCACGTGCCCGGTTTGCAGTGGCCACCAAACGTCTGCGACACGTTTGGCACAGGAAAAGGTTGGTTGCTATCTGCCAACTCATCGCTAGATGGTGCAAAATCCAACAAACACCTTTTACTGGAAGGGAACTCTGGAATGCTCATCACGTTACCATGGTCATAATGCTTTAGCATCACATAATTAATTATGCTGTGTGTGTTTCAATATGCATGTACTGTGTGTAGATGACACACCACAAAGAAACCTCACCAGGCAAGATCCACTCTTAAAAGCACTCTGAAAGCACTCAAAGTTGAAGGAGCCCTGATTTGAACCATTAACTACCTAACTGTGTCAAAGACACACTGCAGTGACATAGAAATATACCATCACACCCATATTAATGGGCAAGATTAGGATTCCCCCTGCAGGAAGGAGTGAAGCAGGGTGACAGGTTCAGGTCGCGGTGGCTGCTGACAAATAACTAGCAGAGAGCTCAGAGTGACAGTAAAGAGTGACAGGCAGCTTATCTGAAAGAACCCTCTACAGCTGGAAGAACACTAATGCAGAGGTGTGGGCAATTATATTTTGAATTTTAAAAATAAACGCTGGGAAATATGTCAAGAGGGACGAGAGCACGTAATTAGGAGAGAATCCGGTCAATTTTCAAAATAAAACATTTTTCAGAAGAAAAAGTCAAATGACAAAGAAATCTCTATATATTTATCCGGTCTGTGGTGCGGCCTGGTACCAAATGGCCGGCGGTTGCTCTGATGGGTTTGTGGAAAACATTTGAGGCGACAATCTGCCAAAGCTGGAACTGAATGTTGATAAATATATTAGCATGGGCTTCACTAGCAGGCATTCACAGCTGCGATGGAGATTTGTTTGTTTGTTTGTCTTTGGGGGGCGGCAGAATCTCCCAAACGCCATCAGGAGCACTGAGAGGAGGCGGGGGGAGTGGATTTGGCTCACTTAATACCAACTGTTGCGTTACCATAAGATTGAGATGTGTTCTACAATGGCTTGATTGTCTCGTTTGGCCATGACACATGGTGTGTCTTCATGGGTGTCCATGGGGGAGCTTTGCCCATATTAGGTAATCCCCAGCAGCTATGCATGGACAGACTATTTATCTCGAATGCTGATCACTGTATGTTGTAAATATTATTTGTGTGCATATATAAAAAAAGTTGAACTTGACCCTAAACTATACTTTCCTAATAACACACACACAACGACCTCCAGCTGATCCTGAAATATGGCAGACCCCGACAATAGGTTGCTAATACACTCATAGTTTGTAATGTTCACAACAATACGCCAATTATCCAAACTCAAATGGAGCAGGGGAAAAAAGCACCCATCGGGAACACAAAAGACCACACATTGTTGCATTTCTAAGATCCCAAACGATGAGTTGTGAGAAAGCTTTCGCCCCGCAGTGTTGCTGCTGTCCCCATTCCTCAGAGACACAGGGGTCCGCAGCAACGGGGTCACAGCACAGAGCTGCTGCCTGGGAAAAGGAAACCAAAACAGATGAGCTCCAAAACGCTCTATTATGTACCAAAATAAATAATACATGCGTGTTGCTTGGAATACCTTTCCTTTCTCAGCTAAGTTAAACTGTTGAATGAGAATTGTGTGATGTTTTTCTCAATTACCGAAAAATGTGCCGCATGTGAGTTTCATTTTGACATTTTCTGTTAAGCAATGTGTTCTGAGGCTGGAACCATCGAGACGTGGGACCAGCAGTAGAGATTACTGCACGTTAAATTGACTTCTGTTCATCTAAAGTAAACAGAGGAAGTGCTGTTCTCGTAAGAAACGTAGATATGAGAAGAGAAGTAAAGAACACAGAGTAAAGGAGAAGAGGGAAGCACATACGTGAGCCTTGAGCTATAAATTCTCCCCTTAAGTGGAGATGATTTCACCTTTCATTGGTCTGGATAAAAAAAACAGGACAACTTCCTGAGGCGAGCTCCCTTTGCATTTTCCATTTTCCTGACCACTTCCCTGCAGCGCAAACGAATGCCGACTTACAGGACTGGGAAACAGGAAGCCAGTTGGACAGGACAGGATGATGAGGACAGCAGAAAAAGGAGACACCTTGCCTCTACGGCAGAGAGACACCACTGTTTGGTTGGCTTTTCTTCATATACTTCCATTCATTTTCGTGTTTTTTTTCCCGATAGAATATGTATAGAAATGTAGTTAACTGAGGGTGAAATATTTACCACCAGCTAGTAAAGTGAGAGGACAGGAGATTATTTTCACCCCATTTCCCTCTCACGCTTAAGCCTTTTTGTTTACGTGCTTATTTCCTCCCATAATGTACTTTATTCGGTCTGACTCCAGGGTAGCGTTGCGCTCTGGCTGTAGTTCAGACAGAATTAACTTTGTGTCTCACACACCAGATGGAATGAACAAACACAGAGAGAAGTAAAAGAAACGACAAGGTGGGAGATTTTAGGAGAGGGAAGGAGGCAGTGAAGGGTGCAGGGGGTTAGCGTACGTCAGGGGAGACACAGGTCATTACTCATGAAGCAAGACTCTGAGAACTCAATCTCCTTATCAACGCTTCAAGAACATGACACCAGAATCTGGTCTCTAATCCATTTCCCTCTAATTGCTGAACTTTGCCTTTAATGGTGGACTTTGCTGACAAAGACCATTGTGAAAACTACGCTGACGACGCACAGCACATTCAGGTGGCAGGGAGACGGATTACACACACAACGCCTTGAAGGTATCACCACTTAATAAAACACCAACATGTCCTAAGAGTTGGAAACAGAAAGGGGGCATTGACCTCTGACAACGCTCGTAACAAATGTATACAAGGTTTTTAAAAAAAGACTAATGACTAGATTCCGCCGGTCTCAACCACACCATCCCAAAACATTTTGTAATATCAGCAGCTCCAATTGTACAAGTGTCGTCGCCCGACGGTTGGCATGACCCCCCCTGAAAAGTCATTCCTCGCTTTCTGCTCATTAGGTAAACTAATTGAAATAGAGCGACGGAGAGACTTCTGGATCAACTCAGAGCCTGCGGAGTCTCCTCGACTTAAGTTGTGTTTGGACCGAACATCCACCCTGACCTCCATTCCTACTAAACCTCCTTGTTTTGTGATTGTCTGGAGTAAATAAGGAAAAAGAATTCGGTGGGTCATATACGAACACAGCATTACCATTATTGCTGACATGGGTTTTCATGCAAATGGGCTTTCCAGTAATCCGACCACTCACAGCGCTCCTTCGGGAGCAATTTGGGGTTTCTTGCTCAAGGACAGGTAGATGTGGACGTGATGAGCCGGGGATTAAAGGAGAACCCGCACTACCTCGGAGCCACGGCCACAGTGGGAGAGGAAGAGTGTGATAGAAGCACACAGAGAAGAACACTGCTGAGCCAGCAGATTGCACTCCGGGAACAACAACGGCGCAGCAGATATCGCAGTAAGGAGACTGGAGAGCCCGTTTTGGGGGGAACCCTTCCAAGCCCACATGGACTAACTGGCATCTCCCGACCCCCGTGACCCTCAAACCCTGCCTATTATTCCACAATGAGTAATCCGTGGATATGGCTGCATGCCATTCGTGGAGGCTCAAAGAGCTTTAACATTTAACCTGTTCGTCCAGGCTACGTTTTCCCTGTTGGTGTGGATCGTTCAGGCTGATGTGGAAGCAAATAAACTGACCACAGGATTTTTCAGAAGCTAAAACGCTAATAAATCCATCTTCTGGTCATGAAATATGGCAGCGGTCTTATAATTGATCTAAATGAGGCTATTAATGCTAATCAACCGGCGTGCACGCCACCGTGGGCATTTTCCCCTCATTAACAGGGTTAAGGAAAGCTGTTAGAACAGCTGTGCTTGTGTCCGACTCTTCGTACTTTGTCACATCATTGAGGCCGCACAGTGCATTAATGACCCCCAATCATTGATGTACAGGAGACACCGTGTGCGCTCCCTGACGTGCGCCTCAGGGGGCTTCAGTACATTCTGGTCTGTACTGCCATCAGGCGTTATTTACTACATTTAGTCAATCTGTTTGCATGACGCACTCTCTTCACCTTTGATACGGCAGTTAATGATGAAATCACAGCCCCAATTAAGTCTCAAACTTTACACGAGCAAATTTGAACGTTCCCTGATGTCAGATCTCCGGATGCGAAGGTTGATTTCGTTTAATTGTCGAAGAACATGAGAGTCCAAACCGGCCGACACGATGAGCAACCAAGCAATCATCGACAGAGAGGTGAAATGAATAAAGCGGTTGGAAAAGGAGGGTGATTTTTATCTTACCAGGAGACACTGCCAGCTGAAAATGATGCAGCTTGTCCTCGTCTGGGAAACTGGCTTTGCATGTACCTGGACCAGATCAAAGATGGGGCATTTTAAGTTATTAAAGACAACAGAAGTAGCTTTGAGATGGACAAACGTGGCTTTGTAACAAATTTCAATATCATCAATAATGTACTGTATTTTTATTAAATCCTTCCTGAGCCACAGGGTGCTCACACAAACTGCAGGATTTGGGCTGAGGTCCTCGTCCCCACATTCCCCCCTGGTGTTCACAGGCGTGTACTGCGCCATCGGTGTGGGACTTTTTGAACCATGTTAAAGTGTAAGAGGTTGCATTCTACTACAGCACTCTAAACCTGTGAGGGTAATTTCAGCATATCTGAAGGATTGTTTTTCTTTTTCCTCATTTACCCAAATGTATCATTTAAATGAGTTGAGCATCACATGCTGAAGCCCCAATGAACGTCAATAGTCGCCAGCATATTTCATCACCGTTATGGCAACGAGTCGTTTGACCATAGCAGACAAAGACAACGGGATGGTTTCTTAGCGGTGCACATCCTCATCCAACATCATCTATGGGCTCGCGAATCCTTACAGATTCATATTGTTGAATTATCACATGTCTCATTGAGAAGATGTGTGACTCAAAGTGTTTCCCTTGGAACCAGATAGCTCTCTACCGTCCTCAACCGGCACCGTGCGCGACGTACGCACTTTGCTTCTCTGGCACTCATTGTCCCCGACTTCGAAGTGCGACACTAATCAGGCCACAAACATGCAGAGTTCAGCCAAAGAATTCAGAGTGACATATTTAATAAAAAAATATAATTTGCAGTACATGTAAGACGTTTTCCAGAGTTATAGTGAAAAAGATAATCAGTTTTTGGCTAAACAGCTTCATGGCACCTGAATGCAGTTAAAAGTTTAGTTAGAAATAACCTACACAAAACTTATGAACTAAACATATCTGTGTGCATGGAAGTGGAAAGCATACTCACTAGGGAGATGGGCTTCAAGTTCTGCAACTTCTATCGAGAAAAAAAGAAAAAGAATTATGAATAAAAGAGCAGCAAACAGGGTAAAGACACACGCACGACGATGTGACAACCTCACATCACAGAAATCCTTCCTCTTTTTTCCAAAATGGGAGTAAAGAAGGTTTCTCTGCATTAAAGTATAATGTGTAAAATGGGAGTTGTAGACGCGGCCCGGGAGGAGCAGTGATGGGACTCTAACAGAAGGAAACGACAGGTGAAGGGCAGAGGGCTGTTCAGCTGCCGTTGCCTCAGGGTCCAGGTCTGGTGGGATTTCTTTAAAGACAGTCACTTCACTGCTTTCATTGCATCAGCCGCTTCAACACTTGACAAGAAAAGACGAGCGGGATGCATTTAGATCAATAACAGGTTGCCTCGCAGCTGTGCAGCATTAACACCACGGTAGAATGCTCCCCTGTGTTGGATGGCTTACTCCACCAGCAGCGGATTCCTTTTCACATTTACTCATTTTACGTGGAAACTGAAGTTCCTTGAGAGTAATGATCAGTACTGGTGAGGCACCAATACCGATGACCCGTATCAGGCCGATACTGACCCCAATTTCTTGATGGGGAAGCGTTGAATGGGGGCTGATCTATTCAGTTCAATTCCATCTACAACGTGTATGACTATATAATTTACCATAAGGATACCATAAAGCATTTTCATTTCTGTTTTAAGTTCTTCTTTTTGACCAATACACTGTTGCTACGTATATATACACATATGTATCCACAGTGATGTACGTGAGGGCATTTGACAGGTGCTTGTAAGATTACATCCACCAACACTTACATTCAACTACCGATGAAGCTACTGCGAACCCAACCATAGCCTGCATTTCACTGCTCATAGTATGTGTGTCATAATGCCTTCAGGTGTATGGACTGAATTAAAGGCAGGTGGGAACTCAAAAAGGAGAAGCTAGAAGGACAACGGTTAAAAGGAGGAGAGCAGAGCCAGATGCCTGGAAGCAGCGAGAGAGGTGCCTATAAATAAAACCCTAAAAGCTAGAGGCTGAAACATGGTCAGAGAGAAAGAGGAGGAATAAAAAGGAGGCAGGTAGAAAAAGAAAAAGCCTTCGAGAAAGAAGAGCAGTGTATGTTTCAGTATGGAAATAAAAACGTTTTACAGTGTCTTTAAACATTTAGCTTGATATTGGTCTGCACGAGATAAAATAAAGCGAGCGGGTGAATTAAGGGACAAAGTGGATGACAACCCAGGTACCTTTGGTAAGGAGGCGGTCCCTGATGGAGACCCTGTGGGTGGAGTCGGAGGCTCCGGAGGCACGGCCCGTCTTTCCCCCGTCATCTCTCTTCAGCTTACTGGCCAACGTGAGCATAGCTGCGCCGCTGTGCTCCGCCGCCCCGCCGCTCAAACAGCTTGAGAAATCACACGGGGGTAAAAGGTGTTTATGATATCAAGAAACCAATTCTCACTGACGCCCTCCCACAGACCAAAAGACAACCAGGAAACTGACAAACGGGCCGGACCCGGCAACCAGCCCAAAGAGTTGGATTAGGCTCCTCCTCCAGCACACACAAATGGGTGGAGAAAAGAAAACAATAAAGAGAAGGGACTTTCAAGTTACATTGCATCCGAGGACAAAGATGTTTTCCTCACAAGTGATGCTACGAGGTTGAGCTTTATAAGGGTTTAAATCTCTGGCCTCCTGCTTCAATCCCAGGGGAATAACGGAGTGCTGCTAACAGGATTATTTTATCTATTTGAGGAGCCATGTGCTATTAGGCTCTGTGTTGTCGAGCACGACTGTTAAATATTGTAACATGAGCATGTCTGACAGTGTTGCACTCAATAACAAAATCACTTGAACTTTTCTTCACACAAATAGATGTTAATGTTTACAAGACATTAAGTTTAAGGAGCGTTTTGAATTCTGGCCGTCAGCTCTTACATGACTGTAATATAAGCAGAAGGACTTTTGAATGCCAACGTTGAACTCAATAGTTGAAAGAAAACAAAAAGAAATACCTTATCTATGGTATGTTTTAGTTATCTAAGTAAGGTGATAGGACCAGACATGAGGGAGCCTACAGATACAAGAATCACAAATCAGCTGACAGCATAAACACCACTTTGACTCGCTGAATGATATTCAACAGGCGCTGCGTCACGGCAAAGGGATAAGAAAACCAAGAGTGCTTTGCCTTCTCGCTTTAGACAACTTCTCTATGAATGCTGCAGCAGGAAGCCGACACGCATGTTAAACTCGAGGGAGTGTGGCGTTCGCGTGGTACTGGAACCATCAACTTGCTTCTTACTTATTCCCTGGGGGTCCGTTTCTTCTTGCACTCCTTTTAGAAATATTTATGAAATGAAAAGTATTTCAAGTTTCCAAATGTGTGTATGTTTATTATCAAGTGAGCTAAATGTGGAATTGCTTAAGTAATGTTTTGGCTAGTGTAAACATAAGACAGCGTAACATCAGAAACAAACACTATTTCAAATGTCTCCTCTGGTGCGATGGCCTCCACACAGCCCCACCTCGCCAACATGCCAGACGACTGAACGTGAACGCAGCACAACTCAGCTACGCGGAAGGAACGGATTCCATTACTTCTGTTGTTTTGGAAATGTTCCGCTCGCACTACTTTTCCGCTCTTAACCCCTCTGGTGGAGCAGTGACCGGGCATCTCTGCGTGCTCACTGGGGCAGCAGGAGGGCGAGGGGATCAGGTGTCCGCCCGCACCCACCTGCCTCGGCTGTCAATCAGCGCACCCCGAGGTCGCTCACTGGCACCTATAGTACTGTCCAGTAAGCTGCGGGGGGGATTCACAATAACGCCGTAGGGGACAGAGTCATGCGGCATATGCAAGAGAACAGAGACACACACACGTAAACACGGATAGCAGATAAACACACACCTGAAGTAACAGAAAAATGTATCCTTCACTTTAAACTGCTAGGAAACGGAGTACATTAACACAGAGTGCGTCTCCCTCAAGACAAAAGCTATTGAAGTGAGATCGAGATGTATGCTAGTGATGTATGCTAATGTTAGGTGCTTTTAGAAGTTAAGTCCCCGCCTCGTCACTGTACTTTTGTCTTGTTAACCAACGTTAATAACAAGCCGCTAATTGCAGCTAGCTATGAACACAAGGTCCAAGCTGAAGGTGGAGCGCACCAGGAAATGTCCCTCGTTTAGTTAGTGAAGGTAGCTCTGCTAGCCAGCGTTAGCTTGTGTGTTCCCTTTTTTTTTACCTGCTTTCTCGGAGCTAGCGCTCCGTGCTACACCATAACCAGCCGCCCTCCTCCGTTCAAGGCGCTGCCTGCAACCCCGGCCGGAGGTTAGTGGAGTCACGTCCGACTGTAACTAACTTCAATAGTGATTATTTGGGGGGCCGGAGGGGATATAAGCTGATTGTGGAATCAGCTGTCAGAACTTCGCTCCGGTGTCATGGGTAACGGAAGCGCCGGACGTGCCGTCCGTCACTGTTGTCCGTGTGGACATGGCGGCAGCTCCGCCGAGCAGAGTTCCGACCCTTTTTTTTCTCATTGCCAACCTTTATTTTCAAACCAATGTTCAAAATGAGCTCTTTAAAAGCAGATGAGACTAATTGTTTGCAAAATAAGCAGTATTTATATTTATTTATTGCTCTATTCTTTTAGAGTGTTATATTCTGTCCCACAGAGTTCAAAATGATAACACAGGCTCGCAGCTTTTTCTGTTACTTTATTTTGAATTCATTTAAAATTAGATATTCATTTGTTTAATCATGAATTGTTTTTAATCAATTAGCCGGACAGCATCTTTTCAAATTCACAATAATACAGCACATCTGAAAAACCTAAAACATACAGATACACAGATACACAAACAGTGTAAATGCCTTGAAGAGAGTACCATGTACAAAAGGGAAAGCAGAGACTCGATGATTGACAGAACAGCTCATTTGCTGTGGAGCGAACCCAGTCCACCCTAAAGTTGGATAAATCTGTGATTCACTCAGCCAGTTGAGGACCCAGGGGCATGAGGGCTGTCACTGGGAAGAAGAACATGCTCTGGACTGCCCTGCCTGAGTGAAGCTTTTTTAAATGAGCAGTCTATTAATCTCGGAGCAGATGATTTCATTGTATTTCATCTAAATCTATTAAGACGGGTGTTGGCCATCCGGCTTTCCGCGATGCTCATACCAAAGTAACAACCAAACTCACCCGTCTTCCCGTGGTGTGCTTTACATAATGCTCATGTTATTCAATGGAGCCGAATGAGGACCGGCATACATGTCATGTTGTTGAGTTGTAACAAAATGTAACAGCCAAAAAAAAGCAGCACAAAAGCCACAGCTGCTGACATTATTAAAAATAACCTTGTGTGACGTTTGCTTGAATTGTAACTTCATCCTGATGTTTCAAGGCTGTGAAAAAGCAGCTTTCTGTGCCTCTGGTTAAGGCTTCTAATAACATTTGCAAGATTCAAACCAAAACCAACAGCGCCTGAAGGAAAACAACCAATCAGAGCGAAGACGTCTCTGAAGCCGGTGTCAATCACTACTCTGACGCTCATAAACTCTGCTTGAACTGTCATTAAAGAATTAAAAATAAAAATAATCAAAGTTACCGTACTGGCTATCTTAGTGCACAGTTTACGTGTAAAAAGAGAATGTTTGTGCTTGTTGGTGGAGGTTGCCGGGAAAGATAGCGGCCAGGTCACAGTTTTATTCAATTTACCAACTGTAGCTTTGAGCGAGAATGAGGTGATGCTTTGTAAGGAGTAAGAGAGAAAGAACAGAAGGTCAAAGATGGGATCAAGAATTGTAGAGGGGGAAGAATCCTTTATGACGGTTCTCCCCGGACGACCCATTGAAGAGACAGTTCTGTAATGAAGATGAAGCCATTCGCTTTGAAATAAAACATTTCTGTCACTTCTAAGGCTTCAAGCTCAACAACGACGTAAGGAGAGACATAAGAAAAGTGTGTCAAGCTTTTCCAACCAAATCCACATGCTACCATGTGGATGCCCCCTCAGGAGTTTCAGACTTCTGTTTATTTTTTACGACACTGAAATGTTTAATGAGCTTCAGAATTATTTTCTCAAGTTAATCTTTAATTCATAGCACAACAGCACTAAAGTGAAATAATACGAAAACACACAGGAATATAATCTCATGAGTGCCAGATCGATGCGCCCCTCCTCCTTTCATCCCACCACCACGTAGCCCACACAAATCCGACCTTCAGGTGTGACCTCTAATTTAGCTTCCAACTTTGATGTCTGCAGATCAGTGACTTAGTAAATGTTCAGCTCAACTCAAAAGGACATCTGCTGTTGGCACACCGGAAGCAAAAGTGTTAGGATTTGTCTCCTGCACTGCATGTTGTGAACAATCCAGGGTCCAGCTCGTCCCGAGGGGCAATAAACTTATCTACCCTCACGCCCATGACTAAGCAAAGTATATTAAAACCAACAGCAGGGGGTTTAGCTATTTTTGTTAATGCTTAACAAAGCATTGTGGAACAAAGCAATGCTTAACTTAATGCCACCGAGTTGGATTCAGCTAAAAATCCAATGTTATCATTTGGGTTTATCAGAAACTCCTTCAGACTCCAGCAGGGCCTCAGTCAAACCCGGACCCAGCTTTGCTGCCTCACTTCGACTTGAAGCTGGAGATGCAGGTGGAGGTGGAGGGCCAACAATGACGCCACGCTGCTGAAAACCAAGGCTGTATTGCTGGACCAAATGACCCACGTGTGAATGGCGTCTACTCAGTTTGAGGGATGAAAACTGAGTCGGGAGCAACATGACTAATGCACATGTCCTGATAATAGTAATCCTATATCATGCATCATGCTTGCTTTACTTCTGCTGCTGCTATAAACTAATCATAAAACGTATGTGTTTGGTAACTCGCCAGCACGGGCACACCACTCTGTTTTTGGTTATAGATCTATACAATGCCTCAAAAGCGTCTGAATGGTGTGAATGTTGTTAGCTGCTGATTGGCAGGTGGCTCCGTGTATGGTAACTTCCCTCTCAACATCTACCCAGCGGCAATTTGTAATGTCAGGGAAGGACACCTACACCCGTACTACTGACGACGGTCGTAGGACATCACCAGTACATCTAATCTGCCAGCAGGGACTCAGAGAAACAGTGTGTCACTTGTTAGCAAATCAGCAGTGACACGGAAAAAAAGGTTGGTGGCAACACATTGTGGTACTGTCCCCCGGCATGTGGACCTCTGTGTGTGGTTTGTGCAAGTAAAAAGAGTCACAGGCTCAACAAAGCTTATAGCACACATGAGTCACGTATTGAATCATGGGAGTAATGTCCCCTCTTTTGCACCTCTTGGTGCCTATTGTCATGGGACACAATACATTTTAAAAAGTGGAAACATTTTATAGAAACTAACATTGTTAATGCAAAAACACTCTTTTACCATATCAGTTAGTTTGTGGGTAAATGGTTTAAATAACAGATGTCTTTCATTTGAATACATCCAGAGTATTGAAGGAGGGTTTTTGTTTCAGTATTAATCCAGAGGGAGGGGAACATCTGTGCAGCAGACACGCTCCCCGTTAGGAAGAACCGCTCTGAAGTCGGTCTGACAAACACTCGTGAGGAAAAACATTGTGGTTGGGCTTAAATGAAGTAAGGACTCGTGTAACACAAGCACGGAAAAAACATCGCAAAAAACATGAAACACGCCAGCCGGCCTTGAACACCCATCTGCTGGTTTAAATGTCCTGTGGTCTTCTTACCCTTCTGTCCACTGGGCACTGAACTTCACACCTGGTCATCACACTCCTGAAGCACTTTCTTTGCAGTGTGTAATAATAACGTGGATGATTTTATGTTACCTGAAAGCTTTGTGTGTCGTAGTGGCACACCGAGGGGGCGGGACATCAGATCGAAATCTGTCGGCTATCGTTGACGTAAAGAGGCCATTTCTCTCTCTTTCTCCTCGACTCACACATGCACACCAAGACACCTTCATTTGAATATGGGAGGGTGAGGAAAGACGTACCTCGTGCCTAAGGCAAAGGAACATGCAAATGAGTCGTAACTCATATTTGTATATTCAAACAGTGTGTTTGAAAGCGCTTTTGTTTTTACAGTCCTGTGGGGTGGACTACGGCGTGCTCGTGTATAAAATACAAGGTCTGTGGCTGACCGTGATGCCCTGTATTATAGAAGGAAGGGAACTGATATATTTAAAGATACCAACACATTTCACTTAAAGCTGAGCGTGTTGGGAGAAGACATTTGATTTCATAGGATGGAAAGGCTTTCTAATAATAACTCCAAAATGTTTGATATTGATCAAAAAGGAACGTTCTACTAGAAGGAACAGCTGGAATAACAAATCAAGAAGGAGGCTCGGATGCACTCGATAGGGTCGTGCTCTTTTTGGAGCTTTTGCGTGTAGAGGGGAAATGAGTTGACATTGCTAAACTTCAGCTTCCCTCATCTCAAAATATTAGTTATTGATATTTTACTGGATTGACTGACCTTCTTGTCTCAAAATAATGATGGACGGTTCTAAACCGTTCTAATCCATATTATGGATACATCCGTAGTGAAATAGGCCCTTTCACTGTATAGAACCTCTGCACAACACAACGGACTTCAAACACATTAAGAATCCCACAAATCCTGAAGCTGATTGAAGAAAAGTGTGCAAAGCTGTCTTTAAAGCTAAAGATGGCTACTTTGAAGAATAGTATAGAAACATATTCTGGTTTGTTGAGCATTTTTTTGTTCCATATCAGTTCCTTCATAGTTTTGAGGTCTTCAAAGAAAATAAAGATGAACCATTGAACGAGAAGGTGTGCAGTTAGCAGTGTCTTCTGTCACTTTCAATCACATGTCTCCCTCTAGTGGTACAACCTCATACTTTGTTGGGAGTTAGTGAGCTATTACTGTAAAAGCTACCAACTTGCACACTATGTTAATAATGAAAAAAAATCAAGTTCAGCTAATGCATAAGAAGGCTTCACACAATGATCATCTGCATATCACTTAATCTTGTTTGCTTTTAAAAAAGATGTTAAGGAGAAAACTTCCAGACCAAAGGTTGACCAGACTGGGAGGTGGAGCAAGGTTCTTCATGACTTTGTAGAAAGGGCTGTGAGGAGTCAGGCTTCCTGCGGTTTGCAGGCCAGCAGGTAAAAATACTTCACCGCCACAAGCACCTCTGTCTCCACTGAGGTCACCCTCATTATGGACATCAACCTGGGGAGACATCGTTCAGTCAGAGGATGTAGTTTGACTTATTACTAATGATGTCATTTTCATTAAAAATGTTTAAAACAACTGTATGATACAGAATGTAGATTAATGAAGTGAAAGTATGCTTGGAACAAAAGGGGGGCGTTTCTAGAATTGATAAGCAAGAGCCCACCGCTCTTGCTTATCGTCTCGTTGTCGAATTTGTGGAATTGTATGTTTGGGTCTGTGAGGATCCTTTTCATTTTTATCAAAACAAAAGTAATTCCATTCATATTTTTTTTCAAACTCAGACTTATTGGCCTTAGTTCATTATCTGCAAAGAACGTATATGAGACCACAATTTATCGACCCCACACCGTGATCCCCCTCTTCGCATTTATATTACATACATGGTGTTCAGGTCCTCTATAGAAGTGTCTAAATTGTAGTTGCTGTGTACCTTCAGTCTTACAAGTCTACACTAGGAAACCCGATGGAGGACACCCTGATATGAATGAAGGGATGACAGTTGTCCTATGGACATGGCTGAGGGACTCGGGGGACACAACATCATACGCGATAATTTCTTTACATCGTACAAGCTGGGACAGGAGCTCCTACAGAGGACACTGACCATGGTGGGAACGATGGGGAAAGAACGGTCCGAGCTCCCCAATATTAACCATCCACTTGGGATGAAGTAAACATCTGTTTAACATAACATTGTTTGATTTTGTTGAATTAAAGACCCCAAATCACAGCGGGTCCAACAGTCCCACCGGCTGAGTAACAAGAAATCTGTGTATACGGCTCTGAATGGATGCCACCATCCTACATTATACCTCTGACTGATGTCTTGAGAGAGGGCAGTGGCTTTCTGCGGGTCTTCTCTCAGAAGCGCCTGATAGCTGGAGAAAGACTCCACCAACCCCATGTAGCTGGACAGAGGCATGGGCCGTTCCACCCACACACACTCCTGCCTGTCACACACGGAACAACTCAGTCGATGTGAGCAGCTACTGTGCAGTCATGTGCTTATCAAACGCTCTTACATTTCCTTGTGAAAACCCAGCAGGACATGTGCTGAATTTGACCAAACAAAAACACGCTCTCACCACTCCTTGTCAGGGTAAGAGATGGATTCATAGGCCTCCCGGTAAATCTCAATAGAGCTGTGACCGAGGTGAGCACTGCGGTGAGGCTGCAAGGCTGCATAGAACTGGTGAAACCAAGAGACAGAGTCATGAGATTGTTCACCGCGGTGATAATAATCCCATAACATATAAACTTTTTGTGTTTATATGTTAATTTGTATTACTTATTCATATTTTAATGGAGTCTGACACCAATTTAGGTTTAACAGTGAAACTGACTGCTACTGTGCCTGGCAGCTAAGCTATTCATTTTATAAAAGAATCCACACGATGGTGATGTTGTTCATTCTTGATTGGCAGAAGACGCCGCCGATTAACAAATATACTACATATCACGTTCATATTACTTCTTATAGTACCACTTAATTACTTAAATGTAGCAAATCACTTTTTTGTTTTCTAAAAGTTGGTGTCTGAATATGACATTAATGCAATTTTTCCCAGTATTGATGAATTTAAGGTAAATCTACAGATGCAAAAAGACCCAATTGTATGTTGGATGTTTTCTTCCCACTACTCTCATAGAAGACATGTCATACAAGTAGAATACCCCAGAATCTGTGTTTTTACAGGCTTTCACCTTCCCCTTGGAGGCCATTAATTATTCGGGGAAGAAAATCTACTCGAGTATGGAGTTACAGTAAAACCAAAACAGGATTCTTCTTTTGAGTTCAATAATCAGGCAGCTGAGCCAAGTGGTGATGCTGGTATAAAACCCAGGCACAAGCAAAGTGGAGATCCAGTAACAGCATAAATATGCCCTTGTCTCTGTGTTTTCCAGCACCAGTTATACTTCCATGACGTAAGACACAACAGCCTCGGGTGAACATTTACTGTAACTTCTCTCAGGTGAATATTGTCGCGAGCACCTCTTTGCAGACTTGGTTGAGTGTGTGTGAGCAGCACCCTGGGTAGCCGAGCTGCATGTCAATGGTGTAGTTGAGCAGAGCCAAGCATCCGCGGGGCTTCAGGACTCTGTGGGCCTCCTGGAGAAAGCGAGGTCGGTCGAACCAGTGGAAGGCGGACATGGCTGTCACCAAGTCCAGCGAGCTGTCAGCGCACGGCAGCTGCTCGGCCGCACACTCTCTGAGGATAGAAGCGTGAAATGGAAAAGGTTTTCAGGTACTTGAAGGTATTTGAATTCCTATTTCCTATCCAACCAAACTCTTGTATCAAACAATCTATGAATTAATAATCCAACATTTGATCTAACTCTGAGACAACTAAAAAAAGCTTATTTTACCGCCCACCACATGCCATGTTTATCCACTTTAAAACCAGTAATTAGCCTGCTTGTGAGTGCAGCAAGGGGCCTTCAAATGTGACATTATGAAGTAAACGGATGTTTTTCAGAATTACTTATTAAGTTAGTCAATACTGAACCCTTAGGCTCCATTAAGTAGCCGCTGCTTCACAGGATAGCGGATAATTAGTTGGTTGCAATCTGTTGAAATGTGAAATAATAATGTAAATTGCATGGGAACTTGGTCCTTTAACTAGTAAAAGAAACTATGTGCAAATAAATACATTACTTCCAAAAACAACTTAAACGTTTTGGAGGAATTCTTTTTCATGTACGGCACCCACCAAACTTCTGTGACATGCCACATATTTCAATGGAATTTCACTGTCCTGTGCTGACAGGACATTTGTTCTATTTTCTGGGCCTTACTGCATGACCGACTTTCACCAGACAAAGGTCACATTGTTCCTGCTTTCGCCAAGATTCCCTGAGTCATGTTTTCGGAGCTGCAGCCAATATGTGGTGTTAATGTTGTAAGTTGCACTGAAATGATTTTGCAGTCAAAGTGCAATTAAAAGTTAAAAGTTTGAATTCAAAGAAAAGATGATTTTGCACCATGTTTACCTATAAGTGATGTTTGGCTTTTTGGAATGCTGCAAAGCCATTTCCAGCTGGGCCGGACTAACGTCTGTCCCCAGCACGGAGGCAAAGTGTTCGGCCAGCAGCACAGTGCCTTGTCCTGAGCCACAGCCGACATCCGCTGCCCGCTCAAAGGGACGACCCATCTGACAAAAGACTTTGCATGTTACATGAAATTCCTGTAATGTTGGCCTTTTTTTAATACAATAGCAACAGTAACAAATCCTTTTTTTATAATTGCAAAAGCTAATGGCACAATTTTACCAACACACTACCTGCTTTTCCAGGAAGTTAAGCACTTGTTGTATTAGAAGATCTGTTGGAGCGATCCTGTACTTCCAGTAGGATCTAGCGTGTTCCTTTCCTTCATACAGGCGAAAAGCCATAGCTAGCTGATGTCCCCTCTCAACAGTTACTACAGCTTACGTTTGAAAAAAGAGAAAAGAGCAATGTGTTATCTTGTGTTGTTATAGATCAAGAGGACATTGAGACTACTGGTTATTCCCTTCTACCGGGCGTTACACACACACACACACACACACACACACACACACACACACACACACACACACAAAAGGGGGCAACAGGGGCCCATGGGAAAGGGAGGTCCCACAGCATTCACGGTATGTGGCCTGTTTAACAATGAACTCTATTAAAGGGACAGCTCCAAGACCTTTTCTGTCATGATGTGGCAGCGTTTTACCTTGTTGTTTCTGTGCAGGACCCTTAAACGATGATATTTTCCGATTGTAACCAATGATAATTATGTTGAATTAGGTTAAGCGCAATGGCCTGTGTGAGTTAAGGTCAGCTCACTTAACGGGATGCATTTCTGTCAGAAGCAATCAAAACCCCGGAGCTGATGAGGGCGATGCACCAATGTTATGTGGAAGTGTTACGATGACATCAAGAGTTCAACAATTCTCTGACTGAATCCCTCTGAAAGTCTGTCTTAAACGGGTAGATCAGTGCTAAGTTGGGTAAATGATTTTCTAGGTGGGTGTAAAAGTCCTGACCTGTTCAATGCGGACTGGTGTCCGTTATTCATTGTCAGTGTTGTAGACACGTGACACCCTGATGACCCTCGCTTTCCTGGGTCTAAACACCCATTAACAAATAAAGACGTTGCGATAATGTTTTGTTCTTCAATACCTTTATTTATTGCTAAGCCCCAGACTCAACAAAAAGGCAATATGAGGAGGAAGCCGACAGAAGCCTAAAATAACTTTGAAGGATGCATCCTGGATGTCAAACTCATTCTGCTGTAAAAACAGGTTGGAAATTGAAAGAGAGAAGGTAAAGCCTTTGTGGTGGAAATTTGAGCTTGCTTTGTGATTAAGTATTTATTACTAACTGGAATATAGAAAAATGATAAATAATACGGAAATCATCAACACAAGCCGTAAGTACAGACAGAAGTCAAATGACTACAATTTAGCTGAAAAGGGGCAGATTGTTCCTTTGCCCAAAAGGAGCAGGAAGATCTGACCAAGTTAAAGAGGAGAACAGGAGGTTTCATACACTTCCGGGAGGTTTGTGCTGCCTTAGTACAGGACAGCCCCCCCCTCAAGAGGAGTGTTTGGAAAAGTACCAGAGACGACGCAGGGGAGACACCGAGACCTTCCCTTAATGGACCCGGTCAATCAACAACATTTAAAAGGTCAGTCAGGGCACGTATGGTTCCATCTGTGTCTTATCTCACCCTGGACTGCCTTAGGTCACAGGCTCACATCAAAGGTCACATTCCTGAGAGCCTCACCCCACGCAGGCTCAACAATTTCCCCCCAACAGCCTTCAGATCACAGTGTAAAAGTCATTACAACACAAAAGTATATCCATTCATGAGCACGTTACTTGATATTAAAAAGACAACGACTATACATTTTTATAGGACAGATCCCTTTGCATTCTGTTCTTTTGTGTGAAACTGTAGCAGGAACCCGACGTACTGAAGCTTCACTTGCAGAGCACAAAACAGGTAAAACCTCTTTGAATCAGCAAGCGGCCTTCCACCCCTCTGCAAACCAACAGAGAAGGAAGAAAGAGCACTGGAGGTGTAAGAACAGATAGATGGGCCACCAACCGCGCCCTGTTTTCAACAGCTTGGCAAAAGAGAAACAACTCAACTTCTTAACCAAAGCGTCCAAGCACCGCTTCTGTGAAACAACATTGGAAAGTTTGTTTGGTTTCAAAATAACCTCCAGTTGTGTAACCTCTCACTTTGCTTTGAGGAATCAGCTGTTCTGTTGAGAGGTGCAAGAGGAGAAAAATACAGTTTGTCATTTGTAAACTGATCTAAACCTTCTTCCATAAAACAATAAGCAGCGTGTTAAGGATTGAATTGTATGAATCTGGTCAATTGTATTAATTTCAACTTTACACAAACAATCACTGTGAAAACAAGAGTTGTATTCAGGAAAAAAGGGTTTATTTCCACGCTCAACACACATTCAATAATTGACAGTTTTCAAGTTAATGAGTTGCAGATTGCAGCGGGCAAGACTCATAAACTCTCTATTAAAACAAGCACCCAATTCTACGATGGCAGGGTTCTTGCACCATTTCAAAAGTAAAATTTAATGCTTTTTAAGACCCAAAAATCTCAGTTTCTTTGGAATACGCAATTTATTGCCTCTTGCAATGGAAATCAAAACGTTTTCAACCGGCGCCAACCACCTCGCCAACCATCCTCTTCGATCCACTTGTCGTTAAATTTGCCCCATCTTCTTTGCATTTTCAACCTCACATCGACAACCGCGTAATGGCGACACGCAGCCTGACGTCAGCGCCTGTAGCCGACGGACCGCAAACAGCTATTCAATTGCGGAGACTCATTTCGCACAATACTAAAATTAATCAACTATTAGATGTTTTACGATGCGCCACTGTGCTTTCTCGTCGCCATTAAGCGCACCGGCAAAAAAATGAATACCTAATACCTTCACTTTACGTGAAATTTAAGACATTTTAAGACTTTTTAAGGACCCGCGGGAACCCTGGATGCTGATTGTGCTGGTTTTGATGTTAGGATGCAGTAATATTCCATCTCCTGCTCCATTTCAGTGTCAGGGGACATGACTCCCATCGCCTCCAAAAACCTGTGAAGCAGTGCAGTCATTATTCGCACAGCTAATGTTCACAAAAAAGGATCATTACGATAGCAGTGTGTGTGTGTGTGTGGGGGGGGGGGGTTAGATGACCTCTTTTGAGTCGTAAGCAGCAGTTCGCCAGCAGCCTCAGGATCTTTCTTTTTGAAACCTTGGAACATGGACCAAGTCTCAATGAAGCCCACCAGGTTCCTGACCGAGATTGACGACTTCACCTTAACACCCTCAATCCTGTTGTGTCAGTATATTCATGGGTTATTATTACATATAGAGACATCCAAACAATACGGGGCATATAAACAGATGTTTGTATTTAACTGCATTTAACATTGATTCCCAGCAGCAAGAATAAGTAAATATCTGTTTTAACAATATGGTTAAAATGTGTTTTCAGTGCTGAACCATTTTGATAAAACATAATAAATACAGTATACCCTTGTACTGTAGGTACAGCAGACAATTGTGTTGGATTTATCGATTGCACAGATGTGTTGCGTGGTGATTACCTCTCTTTATCAGGAAAGGGGATGGCAGTGTAGAGCTCCTCCAGCTTACCCTCAGCTACAGCTACTCGATTGCTAGTGAATGGCAGCAGCACCTGCTTCACCTGGAAGTGAATGCAAATAAATGCTATACTCAACAAACACAAACAAACCTGTGAATAAACACGTGTGGGCGAAGGATGAGGGGATGCAAGTGTGCTAGTAGCAAGAACTAACACTGTCAGTGTGCCAAAGAGGTGTGCGCCGCTGATGTATAACACGACCCACCTCTTCATACATGTGATTGAGTCTTTCTCCACAGCCCTGGTAGTGAAACCTGGTGCCAGAGTCAGTGAAACCCAGCAGAGCCACGCATCCCCCGGGTTTCAGAACCCGACTCGCCTCGGCCAGGAACCTCGACTGATCGAACCAGTGGGCCGCCGACGCTGCTGCCAGCAGGTCGACAGAGCAGTCTGGGAAAGGAAGCTCCTCTGCGGTTCCCTTCCTGCAAGCGCAGGAGACACTGGTCACACTAAGTAGTAATTACTTTCGGAACATGAGCATTTCAACGTCATACTTTATTGTGATGGAGTAAAGAGCGACTCACGCGCTACCTGTACGTGACGTTCGGATACCCCGGCACGGCTCTGGCCTCCTCCAGTTGACCGTCACTGATGTCGATGCCCACCACTTCCTGGAAGTGCGGCGCCAGTAGACGCGAGTTCTGACCCGTACCACATCCCAGATCCACGGCCAGCACATGCGGCTCGGCCTTCTGAGTGTTAACAGATGAGATGATTACAGAGGAGTAATCCAGCAAAATTATGAAAAGTGCAAAGTATAAAAATGACTCGGTGGTATACCTTTTTGCAGAGGTATTGAAGAATGATGCTCTTGAGCTCGTCTGGAGGTGTGAAGCGATACTTTTGGTAAGAGAAGGCATGATCCTTCCCCTCAAACAGTCGGTAAGTCATGGTATTTTTTTTGATCTTCTCTACCAGTGCTGCTGCTCAATTTTGCCCTCTCAGACCTCTGCACCAAAGCAGTTTCCTTTGTCCGTCGTTCCCTTCTGCTTTGCCTTTTATGTTGTTTCCTTACTTTTAGCTTCTTTAACCTGTGGCTCACTCTTTCCGAGTTGCTTCTTTTCCTGCTGCTGTTGCCTGCCTGCACTCTCACACACTCTGCCCTACGTCACAGAGACGGTGCCGTTATGTTAACCCTTTAATGGCCAGATAATTTCTGCTGATTGTATTTTAACAGCTGCATATTGACGCAATAATATATTGTGAAATAACTGCTTCAAATAGTGAAAAATACATCCGCTCCGAGTCGCCCGATTATGCTTTTGCAAGTGAAATTCAGTCTCAGGTTTTACTGTGATACACTCTTTTGTGACAGTTATTATCAAAGTGCATGTTCACACACAAAATTTCCATGTACATCCTTATCTGACGTGGATATGTAAAAAACGTGTTTTCAGCTAGTCTTGCAGCCCCTATACTTTACAGTGTTTGACAAGGTTTTTTAATTTGGAATTTCATTCATCACAATTGCAAAGACCTGTCTCTAGAAATCATGTAACTTTTAGTAAATTGAACGAAAGTTCCATAAAACGTTTGTGACTGTCACTGACTGACGTTCTCACATGAAAGTAAAAAATGAACCTCAACTTCTCAGCCACCCATCACCTGATGACAGCTGGTAATGTGAAAACTGACGTGCTGGAACCACCAGTAAGAATTTACTGTTGAATACATTGATAGGTTTAGGAATATGGCAAGTAAGACAAAGCAAATAGCAGTGAAATTAGCAGCTTGACCTGGGACAATGTACTACCCTCTGACGATTACGGCTGTGGCTGCAACGACTTTACTCATTGAATCAACTCTGTGAGAGAAAGATTCAATATATGCGTTCTGATCAAATGTAAAAAATAAAATCAATTCACCAATTGGCAAAGACAATCTTTGGAAGCTGATAAAGACTATAGAGATCATGCTCTAAGGAAGGCAATTCAAACTAGAACAGACATTAACTTATAAAGGTTTAAGGAACAAAGTTATCCTGGAGTTAAAATAAGATAAATCATGTTTTAATCCCAAAATATTTAATGGAGCAAAATGAAACAGCGAACTGATCAAGAAAATTCAGGGAGGGATATTTTTACAGTACAGGGAGAGTTAATTAATGATCATCTTGCTGTGTGTCTTTAATATGTATTTTCCTGGAGTATGTATGAGCTATAGGAACATTCTTTTAAAAAGAAAAATTGGAAAATCGATGCTAGAGGCCTGATTTTAGAGCTGCACAGACCAACGAGGCCTTTGGTTAACAAAATTAGCTCCTAAAACACTCACAATGCAGAGATGAAGGTTGCAGAGAAAGTAGTCAACAACTGACAACATGTCTTAACACTATTACTTTTGGTCAGCATTGTACGCTGTATGCCTTTAGAACAAATCATTCCACTTTGCTCTAAATAGAACAAATTAAGTTAAGCCTCAACAAAGGAAGGTGTTGTATTTTTACATATGCGCAAAGCTTTTGATACAGTTAATGAAATTTAACTTTTCAGTTCTGGCATGAATGTCTTGATATTTATCGAACAGGGTGCATTGTGTTAAAGTTTGTGGTGCATTGTCCAGAAACATAAAATGTACAATGGTTGTTCCACAAGGGTCAGTGTTAGGTCCCTTATCATTACTTTATAAATCAATGTCCTCCCTGAATAGCGTCATGATGTAGAATTGCAAATGTATGCAGATTGACGTTTACACTTGCAAAAATAGCTGCGTAAACAGCTGCCAAGGTGAGAAATAGGTCAGAAAGATCACGCACTGGCTTAATCAGTCATGTCTGTCTAAATATAAAAAAGACAAAAGTTCACACTCTGCACTAGGGAAATCTTTTTTTGGGGGGATAAGCCACAAATCAGTGGAACACTCTGCCTGACGTGGTGAAGAGCCTCATCTCTATCCTTGATCAAATAGCACTGTCTTCTTTGGGCAAAATTACTATGGTTTTTACTACTTACTTTGAATGTGATACCATTTGCTAACCTGAAAAACATCTTTGTTTTGTTTTGATTCCCCGGGGTGGTCCTCCAGGGTAGCAGAGCTTGTTTAATTGCTCTCCAGGGATAATGGAGATAATGGCCTGTTGACCATTTCTAACTTAGAAAAATAAAGCCTGCAGCGTACCCTTCATTGGGCTTTGATTACTGTTGATTTCATCAAATATTGCATCAGAGGCGTTGAGTGAAACAGATTATTTATCTAATGTCCTTCCTTACAGAGTTTCGTTCACTGAAATAAATCAAAGTGTAACTACCCTTCAAGCTGTGTTTCAATACCTGCTTTAGATACTCCAAGGATGTCAAGGAAGCCGTGGGCATTAACAAGGCCTAAGGGACCAATAAATGCATAAATACCTTAAATCCCTCATGACTTATGTGTGTGTGCTTGTGAGACCTGTTTTACTCTACTATGTGAAGGTCGCTCGTGAAGTAAGCAAGAGATTACATCACAGGTGTTCCATAATCATTTGTTTTCTTCCGATGCTTAGTAACTCAGACTGGTACACATGGGTGCACAGAGGTTATTGTTGGAAACTTTGTTTGGAGGTCCAAGCAATTATTTGATAATTAATTATTTGAAGAGATGAATCTTTCCAAATACAATCAATGTAGGATCCTTCAGCTCTGCATTCGACACCATTATCCCGTCTCTGCTGCAGGACAAACTCGGCCAGCTGCATGTGCCCGACTCCACCTGCAAGTGGATCACTAACTTCCTGTCCGACAGGAAGCAGCACGTGAAGCTGGGGAAACATGTCTCAGCGGACCATCAGCACCGGTTCCCCACAAGGCTGCGTTCTTTTCCCCTCTTCTCTCTGTACACCAACAGCTGCACCTCCAGTCACCAGTCCGTCAAGCTCTTGAAGTTTGCGGATGACACCACCCTCATTGGACTCATCTCTGGTGGGGATGAGTCCAACTTAGCTAGAGCGCAACATTCTGAAGACAGTGGAGATGATAGTGGATTTCAGAAGGAATGCAGCCCCACCTTCCCCCATCACCCTTTGTGACTCTCCCGTCACCGCTGTGGATTAGCTCCATCACCAAAAAGGCTCAACAGAGGCTGTTCTTCCTGAGGCAGCTAAAGAAATTCAACCTGACAATGACTATGATGGTGGACTTCTCCGCGGCCATCATCGAGTCCATCCTCTGCTCCTCCATCACTGTCTGCCGCACCCAAGGACAAGGGCAGGCTGCAGCGTGTCAGCCCAGGTCCTCCACTGACCAACTCTGACATCCCTTTTTTCCACCGGTCACTCCCTTCATGCACATACACTTGTTGTTATGTCCAGGACACTGTGTGAGTCAAGTGGTCTCGTGTCTATGTATCTCGTGATTTATTTTTGCCTCCCACTCCTTTCAGACAACTTTTATCTCACGTCAAGGAACCAGTGTATGTCTGCATCAATAGCTTTACCACTCCACCACGAGTGATTTTCATTTCAGTGGCACTTGCCCTTTTGTTAATAAACTTTGATTTCTTTTGGAACTTCGTCTAAGGAGTTGTGCATTTGGGTTCAGGGACATTGTCCGGTCGTGACAGAACGAACCGGCCAGCATGAACCCAGCCGACTCAGATCACTTGAAGGCAGCCCTTTGCGCCTAAGGGTCCCGTTTTAATGAGCAGGAGGATCAGGTGTCCGCCCTGCAACGTGGAGCGAAGGAACTGGCAAGCGGCCAGGAGAATTTTAAGTTCAGTCTCCTCGCCTTGCTCAGTTCTCCTGTGAGTCTGGGGAATGCAAAGCCTTTATAGTGAGCTTTGAAATGCACTACGAACAATTGCCATCAGCCTTCCCCACAGAGAAGTCAAGGTGGCGTTCATGATCTCTGATCTCACGGGGAGAGCGAGGGTATGGGTGACCACGGAATGGTCCGGATTTTCACCATCCTGTCAATCACTTGATCAGTTCACCAAGACCTTGAGGAGGGTGTTTGACCCCACAACGTCAGGAAGAGAAACCTGATTATGCTATCTGCTTCCGCACACTATCCGCGGATAGCGGATGGAATGCCACGGCATTGTATGATGTCTTTATCTCAGGACTCTCTGATCCCATACAAGACTTGTTGGAGCCCCTTGATTTGCCTGAGGCTCTCGACGCAGTCATCGCATTAGCTGTTAGGACAGACCATCGCTTGAAAGCGCGAAGACGGGACCAATCACGCCTCATCGGGCAGTTCCTCCCGCTCCCTGACTAAGATTCAGGTAAGCCACCATGACACCACATTCTCTATGGGAGTGCTGGTTGACCTAGGGGCTGATGAAAGTCTCATGGACTGGGTTTTGCGAACTTTTACAGGCGGTTTATCAGAAACTTCAGGGCCATTGCGTCTCCTCTCCATGCTCTCTCCTCTCCTCAAGCTCTGTTCCTGTGGTCTTCCCCAAGATGAGGAGGCTTTCACCGAGCTCAAGGAGAAGTTCACCACGGCCTCTGTAATGCCCTTCATGCAGCAAAATAATGTATGGCAGTATGTGTCACACTATATGAAGCTTAGGCTAAAATTCCGTCAGGAAGACTAGACAGGCTGTGCCGTTCCCTGGTGGCCTCCTCTCTCCCTGGGGGTGCACAGCCAAGTGATTAAGGGCGGGGTTAAGTAGTACCAGCCAACCAGACGTGGGTATCGTTACCGTAAACCAATTGTATTGGTGCAGGCAAACGTTAAAAACTGTTCTCCTCTCTTTTGCTGTCAGTTGTCATTTCAGCAGGCATCAAAGGTGACCCGCCACCACCCCTGACACCTCCAATCTACAGCAGAACCTGGCATAGCAGGAGATTGGAGCAATTTAGGCTCTACCACCACCAGTGTCTGGACTCCCAAAGGGGGGGATATGACTCATCTCGGCTTGACATCCCGGCCCCTGGTCTATCTTGCGGCAGGATAGAGTCCAAGCCCCAAACAACTTTGCAATATCGATATTATGCCTGTTATAATAAAGCGTTGTTCAAATTTCAACAAGTCTCTCCGGATTGAAATGTGTTTTACCCATTTTCTACAGTGATTGACTGGCTGCAACCTATTCACCTGGCCTTCTTACCCAATTGTTGAGCCCATCCCCCCAAATTAATTAAGCACCACTTAATACAGCCTATTGTAGCAACCTATAAAATACCAAGGCAGCTAAAGCATAAGCATCTAAGCAGACTATGAACCGTGGCTATAAACGTGTTTACAATTTTATAAATCCATTGGGAAGTAGATTTTTCTCAGGATAACAGGATTAAGTGCAACTTAAATTAATTCTCAATCACGACCTGGCATTTGAGGTGACTTATTATGGAAATTTGTTTTTACAAAACAAGGAATTGTAGCTGATACAATTAATCATTCCTCATTGAAATATCAACCCACAGAGCTCACTAGGAAGACAGGTTTGCAATGTGTATAATAGCCTACATTGGACAGATATTGTTATTCATCACTTTGTTGGGAATGTATGTACGCTAAGAGTTATTTATACTAATCAATCTTCATCATGATCTGCAAACGTTTTTGCATCTTCACCATCAAATATCGATAATTGCTTGATGTGTTATGCAGAAACATTTCCTATAGATCCCCCATTGGTTGGTGACTGCTATGACATACTCATGTGTCACGAGATATACAGGTCCTCAGCTGCTCTTGTGAAGCCACAGTGCGTATACATGCTGTTTCACACAGAGGACACAAGGACACAAGCGTGAACAACATTTAGGAGTTGTTGATTTGTTTAGGAATTGGATGTGTAGAGTAAATATAACTGTGACTCTATAGCCACTTGGATTTAATATAATTACTTTTTGACTTTTTCAGTGCATTGCGAATACCTTTGAATGTCTCAAGTTAAAACCAACCGTTTACTACACAGGTAAGAAGGAGTTCTAGCTGCATTGTAACCGGCCCAGGATCCAGCTGCAGAATTTCTTTCGTTCATCAAACAATCTCTGTTACTGTCTATGGAAAACAATACTTTTCCCCAGTATTTTAACCTTACCATGTTTGTGAAACTAGGAAACTATCGCTACCTCGCATTTGTCCTGTGTCTACTGTTGTATGCTTTTATTATCTTTTCTAATCTTGTAATAATAGTGCTGATATCACGAGAGATAACGTTACATGAGCCCATGTATATTTTTATTATGTGTCTTTCTATCAACTCTCTGTATGGCTCTGCTGGCTTCTTCTTCAGATTTCTGAGAGACCTACTGTCTGATACTCATTTGATTTCACGCACAGCTTGTTTTGCTCAGATCTATGTCATTTACACCTACGCATCCTATGAGATGACTCTGTTAGGCATAATGGCTTATGATCGTTACGTTGCTATATGTCAACCTTTAAACTACCACAACAAAATTACATCAAAGGCGGTCTCAAAGTTGGTTGCCTTTGCATGGACTTATCCATGCTTTTCTATTGCAACCTGTGTGTATCTTTCCTTCAGACTTCCATTGTGTGGCAATAAGATACCAAAGGTATTCTGTGCCAACTGGCCTGTTGTAAAATTGTCATGTGTCAGTACAGTGATTAATAACCTTGTCGGCATGTTTCTGTCCATAAGCACCGCCTTCCTGCCCCTGGCCTTTGTCATGTTTACATATATAAGAATAATTCTCATTTGTAGGAAACGTTCTTCAGAGTTTAAGCGCAAAGTTATACAAAACTGTCTGCCACACATTGTTACATTCGTCATCTACTCCATTACTGTGTTTTGTGATGTTGCTCTCAGCAGAATTGATCTTGAAGCGCTGAACCCATTTTTAGCAATAATTTTATCACTTGAGTTTGTTGTGATTCCTCCCATAGTGAATCCTCTTGTTTATGGCCTGAAGCTAGCAGAAATAAGAAAATGTGTGTTAAATGTGTTTTCACACTCAGAACCTGTGAAAACAAACCACAAAAAATAAGAGTAAAATGTGTCTTTTCTATAAGTAATAAGACAGGAGGTCTATGTGGTGGAAGATTTTGCACAGACAATCGTTAAGTAAGAATCAAAGGCTCTGAGTCAAGTATGTCTTTTCTCCGTTTATTTCCTTGCAAGGGAAAAAGGGTCACAACAGCTACGTGGTCAGTAGACTGTCAAGAACCTCCTTTTTTCTTCCCAACACATCGAGGCAGTTCTTATACCTAAACTTAGAAATCGGTGGCGTCAACAGAAACCGTTAACCATCTTGTTGAGTCTCTACAGCCAGGGTACTGGGAACATCTTGTCCATGTGAGACACGTCAGTTCTTTGACCGTGTCCTTGCTCTCCCAACATGCTTAAACAAAGGTGGTCATAGACATAACAAACACTTTGTTCAATCTCTACAGCTATGACGCTGGAAACATCTAATCCAAGTGGGAGACATCAGTTCGTATGTCAGGGCCTTTGTGACCTAAGCACTTGCAACTAATAAACTGGTTATACAAATGAAGCATTTAAAAGGGTCACATATCATTTTCCCATTACATCTATCATCCCTTTCAGGCATTCTTCATCAATATTCTGTTTCATGGTAAATTACTTTGTTTAAAATCAATGTGTAGAGATCCATTGTTTTTTGTCAATCAATAAACAAACATGACACAACAAAAACAATACAAGTTCCTAGGGAGTCCAGGGCCCTGTTCCTCGTACGTGGTTCAACTAAGTTGATCAAATGTCCGATTATCCAGCTCAAAAGCGGATAGGCGCTCAAAACGTCTCATTAGTTTGAACCAGATGTCAATCATCAGGATAATCGCGCGCCTTACGTCAGAAGGCGGAACAGTCGATCACTGAAACCAGGATTTTTTAACAGTATAATGGCAAATATACTTAAAGGAAGAGCGTCTTTTTTTCTCCGGTGACGAGCAGGAGATGATCATTAACACATATGATGAGATAAAATGTTAATTTGAATCATTTCTGTCTGATGAATTTAACTTATTATACACATTTTACGTTGTTCATTCTGTCCGTCCCAGGGAGGATCGTCCTTTGTCTCTCTAAAGGTTTCTTCCCTTTATTCTCCCCATCAAATACTTTTTCATTGTTTGGGGAGTTTTTCCTGTGTCGATGTGAGGGTTTCTGGACAGAGGATGTCACATGTGTACAGACTGTAAAGACACATGAGGCTAATTTGCAATATTGTGCGATACAAAATAAAATTAAATGAATTATATAATCATGGCAAAGACTCACACCGCCCCCCTGCGAGGCTACAAGCCCGACAAAGTATCGCACACAAGTTAACGTTAAATGCGTGTTGGTAAAATGTAACGGCTCATTTAAGTGCCTCGTCACTCTAATCAATCAGATTACATTTCTTTAAATGTGTTTGCTAGCAGTAGGTTTAAGAATAATGAGAATAATAATCTCAACTCTTTCGGAGTATGTAGATGAAAACAGGCCCAAAGAATCAAATTGATACGAATGAATAGGATATATGTACTGTATCAGCTTATGTACCATATGTATGTGTAGATGACCATAGGAGCTTCATTATGTGTGTGAATGTGTTTGTGAGAATCATTTTATATCCATTGTTCATAATCAGACATTTGATCAATTGAAGCAGTGAAATGTGGAACATTCAGAAGTTTATTAAGCGACAAATAAACCAACAGAACCGCAGAGGAGCTTCCTTTCCCAGACTGCTCTGTCGACCTGCTGGCAGCAGCGTCGGCGGCCCACTGGTTCGATCAGTCGAGGTTCCTGGCCAAGGCAAGTCGGGTTCTGAAACCCGGGGGATGCGTAGCTCTGCTGGGTTTCACTGACTCTGGCACCAGGTTTCACAACCAGGGCTGTGGAGAATCACATGTCTGAAGAGGTGGGTCGTGTTAAACATAATAAGCGGTGCACACCTCTTTGGCACACTGACAGTAACGCAAGCCTAGAAAAATGGGTCAACGCATGGAAGGAAGCAAGGAGGTGTGAAAAGGCACGCAAGGGACACGCAAGGGGGTCTTGCGTCTGCGTCGCTCTGAAAACGCAGAAGCATAAACTAGGTTTGAATCCAACCGATATCGCTCCTTTATCAATGAGTAAGTGTGCTGACTTTTTTTCCGGGGGAGTGATGAACTAATCCAGCAGCTCAAATGAACCTGCGCCGGAGAAGGTTCAAGTTTTTCGATGTGTTGCTATGGTGATTTAGACCAACCTGTTTCAAGGAACCGAAAAGCCATTAGTTGAGTTAAATGGTAGTCAGGACTTTTCAGAAAATTCGAAATGATGTGATAAAATCAATAAAATCAAAATCAAAAGATACTTGTACACATGCAGCTCAGTAATCAGGAATCATTTGTTGTCATAATATGTCAAACATACAAGAAATTGTGGCGGGAGATCTTAGTCCTGATGGACCTCATCCTCCTGCCAGATGGAAGGGGCACAAACAGTTTTTGTCTGGGGTGAGAGGGGTTGGCTACAATCTTTTTAGCTCACTTCAGAGACCTGGAAGCGAACAAGTCCTGCAGGGACGGCAGATTGCAGCCAATCACCCTCTCTGCAGAGCGGATGACACGCTGCAGCCTGCCCTTGTCCTTGGCTGTGGCTGCAGCGTACCAGACGGTGATGTAGGAGCAGAGGATAGACTCGATGATGGCCGTGTAAAACTGCACCATCATCGTCTTTGGCAGGTTGAATTTCTTCAGCTGCCTCAGGGAGAACATTCTCTGCTGAGCCTTCTTGGTGATGGAGCCTCAATAGTTCCCTGCCCAGGAGGTTAACCTCACAGTTCCAGCTGTCCAGGACCACATTCAGGGATGCAGAAAGATCTGGCAGGACACCCGCACTGCTCTGGAACAAACCCAAGAGGCCACGCGACGCTCAGCCAACCGTCACAGGAACCCAGCCCCTACCTACCAACCAGGTCAGTCAGTGTGGTTGTCCACTAAAGACATTCCCCTCCTCACAGAATCTCGTAAGCTCTCACCCTGCTACATTGGTCCATTTCCCATCCTAGAAGTCATTAATCCCTCTGCTGTTATGCTAGCTCTGCCTGACAATATGAGAATCCATCCCACTTTTCATGTTTCTCAACTCAAGCCAGTCTCTGTCAGTCTTCTGTGCCCCCCACCCCTTCCATCCGCCCGCCTCATTGATGACCAGCCTGCCTTCACCACTGTTCCTGGTGGATTGGGAGGGTTACGGTCCTGAGGAACGCTCCTGGGTACCACGATCTCTCATCCTAGATTGATTGCCTCTACTCACCTCCAGTATTTAAGCCTGGTCTGATCTTCCAGTCTTTGCCAGTTCGTCAGTTACTCTTGTGGGAATCTGCTTCCCGGCTGCTGTTCTTTCGAATAGTATTTTGTTGCTTAACTATTAGTACTGATATTGCTGTCCAGGATTTAACTTCCAGCCGTCTGCTTCTTCCCCAGCTCCAGCATCCAGCCTCCCCAGTCTCAACCTCCATTAGTGTGTGTTAAAATAAACTTCAGTGGTGAAGTTCAGTCTGCCTTGTGGATCCAGTTCTTTAAAAAAAACGTCAGCCCTATAAAACATGGAGATACCAGGCTAAAAACAAACACAGGTGACAGCCCAGTTTATGAACAGTAATCATGGAACGTTGATAGAGTGAAGCTGGAATAATCTTATGGAGGATTTAGTGCAGGACTCTCAGGAGTTTGCTGATGTATACGATTCAACCGCTTGTAGATTTGTCGGATCCTATTGGAACGAGTACAGTCCGAGCTGGGTTTTCAGGCATGTGCAGGAATTGAGGTTTTGATACAGCAACAGGAACCTAGAAAAAAAGGTGGAAACATTAGCTGTCCGAGTGCCTTGCCGTTGCAATAAATTCCATAGAGACACATATATACCAAATCAAAGCTATTGTGAATATGGACGTGATCCATCTCCCAGATTCCTAATGTTGGAGCCTCCGGAAACCGGCATTAGAACTTAATTCGAATAACATTTACTCTTTCTAAAAACAAGAACACCTAACAGTTGCCAAACTCGGTTTGTCATAATGTATGCATTGCTCTTACAGTAGATTGCATCATGATTAAACAAGGAGGAAACATATTTCTGAATGTTGATTGGCTGGTTTCAATTCCCAGCTGACATGTGGCCGTAGTAAGACAAGATATTAATAACTGTTATATGAAAGAGCAACCACTATGTTAAGGATGGACATCCATAACACAGGGTAGAAAGCAATTCACTGACCATGATGCATAATTCTTCGCATGTGAAGGTGTTTTTTCTTTCAGGTTTAAATGGAACAATGACTAACAGAGTTGCTCTCTTCTCTGTCATGTTACTGTGTTACTTTTTCATTGTGCTGGTAAACGTTGTTCTCATTGTGACCATCATCTTGGTTAAGAACATGCATGAACCAATGTATATTCTATTGTGCCGTTTGTGCATGAATGGACTTTATGGGACAACAGGTTTCTACCCAAAGATTCTGTTGGATCTGCTGTCTCCTGTTCATGTAATCTCTTATTCTGGATGCCTTGTTCAGGCTTTTGTGATTCACTCATTTGTCTCCAACGATATGTCCATTCTTGCAGTGATGTCATATGACAGATATGTGGCTATATGTCGACCCTTGGTGTACCACTCTGTCATGTCAAAGAAGAGACTTTTAATGTTAGTATCTTTCTCCTGGTTCACAACGTTTTGCATTTCCAGCACAAATATGATCCTCACATCAAGGTTACATTTGTGCAGCCCATATATTGACAGACTTTATTGCATGAATTGGAATATTGTAAAACTTGCTTGTTTCCCAGCTAACACTATATCTAACAACACACTTGGTAACGTTGCAAATATATTTTACCTATGTCATGCTGTGTTAATAGTTTGGTCCTACTTGTATGTCATGAAAATATGTGTGAATTCTTTAGAAAACAGGGCAAAGTTCATGCAGACATGTGTGCCACATTTAGCCTGCTTGCTCATTTTTCTTGGAACAATACTTTTAGATTTCATGCATATACGATATGGTTCAAACTTACCTCAAGCATT